ATTGTCCGGTCCAGACAGATTATTTGCTGGTGGCCGACATAAAGGTGAAACGAACGAAATATGGCCCCTCTCCACAAAGTATTTGTTTGTTTGTTGTTTAACGCAGCACTCTGCAATATTCCTGCTATATGACGGGCCGTCGGGTAGCCTAGTGGTTAAAGTGTTTTCTCGTCACGCCGAAGACCCGGGTTCGATTCCCGACATGGGTACAATGTGTGAAGCCCATTTCTGGTGTCCCCCGCCATAATATTGCTGGAATATTGCTCAAAGCGGCGTAAAACCGTACTCACTCACTCCTGCTATATGACAGCGGTCTGTAAATAATCAAGTCTGGACCCACAAAGTAGAAAGTGGTGAAAATGCTACAACTATAGTACGTCATGATTTTGATGTATGGGAGGTTTCTAAGCACTATGATAATTTGGTGGAACAGGTTCCTCCTTCATACATGTTTACTTTCATGGTGATGATTAACTCTCATCAAAGGATGAATAACGGAACCCTTCCTACTAACATCTAATGCCGATGTTTCCATTCATCTCAATCTTGACAAGACTACATGCATGCTGATACAGGAAAATAGTGCCAAAATACCTGCCAGCCAGATACCACCTGATGTAGTATAATTACCTGTCAGGTCAGATGTATAACACAGGTGAAGCCTCTCATTCTGATCCTCATATATGCGGGAAGTATATTCAAGAGAGAAGAAGGAAGTCAAATGTTGTCTCAGCAGTATAACTGAAGTGCTAGTTTAGAAAATGTGCTTGAAGCACTTGACAGTTGCCTACCTTCCACTAAGCATAAGTATTACTAGAGCCGGAGCTTCAGCAGTTGCCTACCTTCCACTAAGCATTAGTATTACAAGAACCGGAACTTCAGTGCTAAAGGCCACTAGTACTTTATGGTACCCTTGCTTACTCATCAAATGTAGCTCAGCAGGTAATACGCTTCACACGGTGATGGTAGTATAACTGAAGTGAACCTGCTAGTTTAGACAAATGTACATTGTATGTTGCAGTTTAGAAACCTCCCCCTGGTTCCTATCTCCTGTGTATTGGTATTTTCAGAGGGGCTCCAGTGCTAGAAGCCACCATTACTTTATTGCACACATGCTGTCATGCAACCTGACATCCAACCAACAGTTAATATCCTGCAGGAGTTGATGGTAGTATAACTGAAGTAAAAACAGCCAAACAACTGAGGTGGTATTGGTCACCAGTGTGTTCATCCCTGTGGTTATAACACTGCTGACATTAACATGGGAATCTGAAACAAAACATTAGATGGGGGATGACTGTTTGTGAAAGTGATGACTTTCCTTTTATTGCCGTGATACTGTGGAATTGTTGAGTGAAAGTGTGTGTGCAGTCTGTGTGCATCATCGGTCTGTTCCTATCCCATTCATGTTGAGGGAAGGCCATGTCCAACAGCAGTTGAGTGTTGAGTATGCTTAGACTAAAATCATGATCATGCAGATTACTAACTGATCAAATTAAGTGGGTACTCTCAGTCTTGTCATGTTGTAATCATCTACCCTCTTCACTCACTGGATTCTGTAGTTATCAGAATGGTCACTAAGTTCTAACCCTGCGATACAAGTGCTGCAGATTGGCAGGGGCCTGGGTAATTGACCCATGGAAAACAATATGAGACTCCATTACTGAACAATATGGGCCCATTATGCCTTTAACTCTTGAATAAGGGCTATCATTTTGGACAGCCAATGGTTAAATTTAAAGCTTTATAGTAGTACTGATATTATAGTTGGATATGGGATATTGGTGCCTAAACCCCAGGGAGAGTCTCATGTTAGAATATGTGCACTCTGTTATGAGGAGGTGGCTAAATGGATAGGGTGGCCAGGCTCTGTGCCTTGGTTGGTTGTGTATCATGCCAAGATGGCATGGATGTCCAGACTTTAATAAAAGGTGCCATGATGTAACTGAAATATTGCTGACTTGGGTTTTAAACAACATTCACTTACTCACTGTCACTGCATGGTATTGTAAACTGTGGACTTTTACAGAATGAGAATACCAATCACTCTTGACTGGCAGAAAAGAAACAATTCTGTTTATCTTCCCTTAACCTTGGTGATTAGTAAAAGTAATTTAGATATAGACAGAAGCGTGGTGCTCTAAAGGACTAGTGTTATCTTAAGTATGGAAAATTGGAAGAGGAATTTTGAGCTAAATGATGCTTAATCTGCTATGATGCCACTGTGTCTGCCCTACATGTGGTGTGTAGTGTGTAATACAGGCTGCACTGTGCAGGTGGCCTCTAGGAAGGAAGAGTGCCGAGAACAAGACCATATCAAAATAAACACAGATAAGGCACTGAATGGATAGCTCAGAAGAATCATCTTTTATAATCTAAATGATTGAGAATTGCATGGCATGTACTACATGTTTGCGTGTGGTAGGTTTGGGTACTTTTGATTTGACAATCAACTGAAGATTGTTTGATTCAAGGAGGTGTTTTGCCACTAATCTGATGTAAAAGGCAAAGAGGAGTGATGTTATTGGCCAAGGTTGAAGACACCCTTCACTACTACTTGCTGTACAAGTTATTTGTGAAGGATCAGTTATCCAGCATCACATAGGGCCAATGATGTAGATACATCGAGACATGCTAGAACTGAAGAAGAACAATCAATATTGTTTAAATAAGAGCCAACAAGGCTATGCGTATAAGTGTTAGAAATTAAAGGGGGTCCTGGGGACTCCTTGAGTTTTGCTCCGAATATTGTAATATGTAATTTAAATCTAAATCTAAATCTTTTAACATAAGGGCTATGACAAGGACCCCTTGACATTCATGGTTAATTTTAAACACTGCATATACATCATGTACATGTCAAGATGCTTTCATCCTGTTTCCCCCCTGTCCTATTCAGTGCACCATGAAGCAGTATCATACCAATAGGCATGTGTTTTCCCCAAATAGCTGGTAACCCTGACTTTGTTGCCCAACAGCGATGGATGTTCGAGACGAAGCCTCTTAAATATCCATGAGTTGTATAATCATCAATAAATAAACCATTAAAGCAATATGCGTGTCTTTCCAAAATAGCTTGTACCCTGATAGATTATCTGACTGAGATAGTTGTTTTAGATAAAATGAATAACCTCTTAAACATCTGAGAGTTGAGTGATTGTCAATGAATTAATCACAAGTAATGGCATCATGTGACATTTTGTAAGAGACACCCTTCTTGTCACAGCCTCAGCTTGGCTTCCTTTATTGTTTTTTTAGGACCACAATATATTTTATGAACACCTGCAGCACTGAATACATTCAATAACACAGTAGACAGTGCCTCAATCTGCCTTACCTGACACTCAAGGCAGTGGAATTAGTAAAAGTTTAGAGGGTGTCCTTAATTATTGTGAGTCTGGTACTGTCCTTTTACCCGAGACCAAAATTTAATACTTGTTCATATAAATTGTCACATTTACAGACATTTTGTTTTTAGAAATATCACACTGAGAATATGTATGACTAGTGCTTAACCCTTCCTGTCATTAATGAATTACTTACCCAAGAATAAGTTCCCCTCATTATGCTCATTCTACTGGCAAGGCTAAACCAGTTCACTATTGCAGCATAAGAAGTTCACATCAATCCATATACGTTCACGTAAAAATTACACACAGTAGAAAAGCTTTAGAATTCAACAAGTGCTGAGGTCCTTAAATCCTTTTCCCTTTAGATGCCAGTAACTTGACTGTAATTACTGTACAAGGATATGACACGTAACATTTTTCTGAACATGTTGCTGTTGCTGTTGTTAGTTTTTTCAAGATTGAGATGAATATGTAAATTCAGAGTTATAAGGGAAATACTTCTTTTGGACAAATGGATTTTTGCATATTCTGCTGATCAGTACAGTGGGTCTTAATACAGTTAGAACTTAACACTGTACAAATACCTGTGGGCTGGTAAAAAATTTCCATATTTCTCTATTGTTTTAACATTACAAGGGGTTTTTAAACCTTTGTTTTTGAGTATTAGTTCTAACCCTGGTGTGTAGAATTGTTTGTTTTAATACTGAAAACACCCACCTTAAAAACACTGCCATACACACTATCCTAGTGTCACATTTTTTGTTGACATGTATCCCCCAAAAGCTCATCAACAGTGATGAAGATGGGTGTCCATAGAGGTTTATTCATGGTCTCTTGTCAGTGGGCATATTTCAGTATGTGGAGAAATATATTTTGTGGGAAAAGTTATCATAAGAATAGACAGATAGAGGTATTTTTAATAGATAACTGTTCGTTGCGTTGGGTGTTCCCTTTTGATTAATTTCTCGATAATGTGGTCTGTGGTATTAGTTAATTCTATCAAAGAGAAGCGATAAATATAAATGAAGCAAAGTAAGGAAAATTTGTTACTTTGTCATCACACCTATATATATAAAGTTACAAATAGAGTTCTTGTTTGTCTAATATTGAGAAAAATGAAAACTACAATAAATTTGGCATTGTTGTGATGCTGGCTTGTGTGTGACACATTAGGCCATGTGTTACTAGCTCTACCATTAACACCATTCACTGTTATTTTGTTGACACCATTGTACAACACATCATTTTGTGAGGCCTATAGTGTCAAGTTGTACTTCTCAAGAGGTTATATTTAAGATGGTTATCATGGTTAAGTGTTTCTGAAACTGACCTACCTGAACACGATGTCTTCTCTTCGGTAACCCAGCCATAAGTTTTAACTGTCAATTTTCTATAACCTTTAAACGCTTTCCAGTTTGCCTGACTATAGTCATTGATTATTGGTATTTTGAAGTAGTTCACAATACTCCTCTGCGCATGTCAGCTTCAGAAGTAAAGGATTCTAGTGAAATGTTATTGAAAATCAACAAGGCTAGGGACACCTGTTACAACTGTGTAACACCTAAATACATTGATCAGGTGAGAAAGCTAGCTTCCAATATATTGTGTCCGTCAGTTGTAGGGAGTCATGCACATTTATGTTAGTGGATGCTACAGTCACGACTGCTCAGTAATTATCATGTTGACAGGAGAAAACGCATCAACCTGTGGTGGCAAATAGTGTCCATGATGGATTTCTTTCTTTGAAAATCAACTCCATGTGATGGTACTGGAACGTTTGTTGATTTCTATACCTTTCGAAACATTCATGACATGGAAAGGAAGCTTGAAGTCTCTGTTTTGTGATCCTGAAGTGGATTTCATGGATTAGTATACTTACAAATCATCTCGTGGCTGGCACTTTGCTGGATGTGACCTTGTTCGTGTGAAACATCCTTCTGTTGTTTGTAAGAGACTTGATCATCACAACCATGATGCTGCGAAACAACACTTCAAATTGTCATCACAAGGCGTAATACTGTTGGAATATTTTGTCCTGATATATTTGGAACCATCCTATAATTTAAGGCTATATTACAAATATAATGGGAAATTCTTCAGATCGAGAAAAAGATGAGGTGAGTTGCACAGACATACAAGACAGTAACAAGTTATCTGAAGAAAAGAAAGTGTTAAGTGATGACCTATCTGCAGACAGGACTGATGTCGATAATACGGAGTCTGTTGGCAAGGATGAGTTGGATAGTAAAGAATCTGTTGGCAAGACTATCTTAAACTTTATACAGTCTATTGGCAAATCTGAATCCAATGATAACCAGGCTGAAAGGAAGGCTGAGACAGACAGCTGTCAGAATGTAGGGAAGTCTGAAGCTGACAACAATCAGTCAGGAGGCAAGTCTGAATCAGACAATCAGTCAGGAGGCACGATTGAATATGAAGAGCATTCCAAAGGAGAGACTGATTCAGAAAACTTGCAGCATGTAGAAAATAGCAAGTTGGATGACAAGAACCAACCTGTTATTAAGCCTGCATTTGACAAGAAACACCCAGCAGCTAAGACTCTATCTGACAAGAAGCAACCGATTACTGACACTGCACCTTCCAATAAATATGTTGCCAAGACAACATCCGACAAGAAACAACATGTTGCCAAGACAACATCAGACAAGAAACAACATGTTGATAAGACTGCATCAGACAAGAAAAAAGCAGTTGGCAAGACTGTATCAGATGAGAAACATCCAATTGACAAAACAGCCTCAGATGAAAAACACCCTACTGGCAAAACTACCTCAAACAAGAAACATCCGGTTGATAAACCTGCCTCAGACAAGAAACAACCAGTTGATAAACCTGTCTCAGACAAGAAACAACCAGTTGATAAACCTGCCTCAGATAAGAAACATCCAGTTGACAAAACTGCCACAGACAAGAAACAACCAGTTGATAAACCTGCCTCAGACAAGAAACAACCAGTTGATAAACCTGTCTCAGACAAGAAACAACCAGTTGATAAACCTGCCTCAGATAAGAAACATCCAGTTGACAAAACTGCCACAGACAAGAAACAACCAGTTGATAAACCTGCCTCAGACAAGAAACAACCAGTTTATAAACCTGCCTCAGACAAGAAACATCCCATTGACAAGAGTGCCACAGACAAGAAACAGCCTGTTGACAGGTCTGAATCTGACAAGGATCTATCAGTAGGCAGGAACAAAAGGCAGCAAGACATAAAGCAATCCGAAGGTAAGACTGATGGTGACAAGAAGCTTCAGGTAGCCATAACACAGTCAGACCACAGTCAGACTGCTTCCAAGGGTCAATCAAACATCAAACAATCTGTTGGCAAGGACCAGTCAGAGAGCAAGCAGCCAGTTGGCATCACAAAGTTGAATAACAAGCAGTATGGAGGGAAAAGCCAGACACACAGAACCAAATCTATTGATAATTGTTCTGAAAGGTACTTTAATGCGAACAGTAGACCCAATACTAAACAGCAAATTGTGGGATACATGCATGGAAAAGACATTACAGTGGGTTCAGCTCATCCACAAAACACTGATTTAAACAGAGGACAGAGACATGGATTTAAAAATGCAAGGAAAACAATTTTGAAACATTTTGGAGAAGATTATTCAGAAGTTGGAGCAAGGAATTGTGATAGAACTGGAAATATATTTAAGGGAAACCACACTGTTCACCATCGGGTTAGGTTTCATAATTTGTATCAGGTAAAGGAAGAAGATGAGGACGAGGAAGATGAGAATATCAATGTAAATCCAAAGGCTGGGGATGTGATACATAAGTCTTCCATGGCTGGCGTTAGAACTGGCAAGTGGAAATGTTGTGACACAGCTAGTCAACTCACTACCATTGGATTAGAAGGCGGACTTCCCCTCCTGAGAAAAATGCGATTCATCACCTCTATGAATAGAATGTCTTGCCAGAAACGGATAAATGAAGATGAAGACACTGGGATCAGTGGATGGAAAGATGGTGAAACTGCTCATTCCGGTACCACGCATAGGAGAAACCTGTCTCTTGATACAGTGGCTCAGAAGAAACAGACTCCAAATGATATTGGCATCTGCTTTCTTGGTGACAGAAGACTAGCCACTGTTTGTAAAGAAGGCCCTGCCAGCAAGGAAGGAACTCCTTCAGTTATGGGAGGGTTGCAGTTTGTCACTTCCATGACAAAGATGGCTCATCAAAGACCTAATGCACAGAAAGGCGATATTGGATTGAGTAGGAGGAAAGGTAGTAAGACATTTGGCAACAAAGATACCACAGCTGAAAGTGGCTGTCCAGTTATGGGTGGGTTGCCCTTTGTCTCTTCTGTTCACAAAATGACACAACAGAAACAGTTAAGAGAGGACAATGACACTGTAGACAGAGAAGTAGCTGCTGCTCACACTCCCCCTACAGTTATAGAACCTGCCCATTTATTTGCAAGGGGAAACTTTGTCACATCCATGAATAGATTGACCCGTCAGAAACAGATCAGGGACGAAGACTGTGACCTTCATGGGGACACACGTGAAGGAACTTTCAGCAATGAGGCCGCCATGGTGGATAAAGGTGGTCATTCACTTATGGGAGACCTGAACCTTGTCACTACTCTAAATAAAACAACACAAGAAAAAAGGAAAAGAAGGGTACAATCTGTTCACAAAGAAGGTATCACAAATGATGACGCTGGTTCTTCATTGATGGGAGATTTGCATCTGGTCACTTCCATGTTTAAAATGGCCTGGCAGAAAGAGCCTGAGATTGAAGCCAATGACTTGGGTGAAACTATCCAGAAAGATGATACATCTGCTGGAGTAGGCAATCTTCACTTTTCAGAAGTGCTGAGCTCAACCTTGTGTTCTGATAACATAGCTCAACTTAAAACAAACACTAGCCCTGAGCGGAGCGAGGGTGGCATTCATAACACAGATGTCACAGCTGAAGATGATGACCAGCTTCCTACTAACGGACTGAATTTTGTCACCGCTATTAATGCAATGACCCAACACAAACAGAACAGTGACACGGATCAAAGAGATTGTGACACTGAACTTAGAGGATCAACTTTAGATAATGAAGATGGTCATCTTGATCTTGAAGGATTTCGTTTTGACTCTGATAGTGATAGTGTATCTAGCCAAGCCACTGAGACAAGTTTTCTGAACATTTCTGAAATGGGCGATGATGGTGATAGAGTGATGGATGGAGACATGGAGCTGAAGTTTGTGGTGAACGAAAGTGTGGTCACTCCACAAAGGTATCAGCGGGAGAGGATGAGCTGCTCATTTGATTCCTTGGACATTGACATGTTTTTAGCCAATGAAGCTTACGATGATAATGAGTCTATCTATGTAGACTCCCTGTGTGATCAGACAGATCCATGTACCAAACACGACTTTAATGAAGAGTTCAAAGACTCCCTGGACATGAGTGACTTCAGTTACAGTGACAATGATTCAAGGCGTGTGCAGGAAACTGTTACGGATGTTAATGTTTCAGAGGTAGGGTGAATGATTTTAACAGTTTTCTTTTTTTCACATATATGGGTATCACAGGAATTAACCATAATAAAACAGTTACTACTTTGTAACCAAAGCAATGCATAGTTAAACTGATAAATTAAATTATTTACTGACAACGGTTTAATTAAAACTTTTTTCTTTTTTCCATTTATTTATATCAACCGTTTCAATTCAAATAGAAGGAAGAAAGGGTGAAAATTTGAAATGGATATTTAAATACATGTGAAATAAAATACTTTCTACATTAATATGTTTAGCTAGATTTACAGGTCTTATACTAAAATTGTTCACGAGTATTGTTTTCGTCCTTGTCACTTGTCTAACATGTCTAAAGAACTTTTCTTTATTTCATGATTTTCTACATTTCAATAACCGACAATAATGTTTAGAGCACACACTTTAGGAAGTGCTTTAGATTATTATTTTTCAACTACCATTCCTTCTGTACAAAAGACTAAACCGGTATTTCATGCCTAAGCTCATCCACAAAAGGGATGAAAGCATTAGTCAGTTATGGTTGCTTCAGGATGCATCATTGCTCCTGGTGAGCAATATCTGACACACATATATATAGATATGTATATATAACAACCCATTTAACTCTTGTCTCACCCCACCACACCCTGTATGTGACTGGTGAGTGCTGTGTCAGAGACAGCTGTGTCAGAGACATGGGAGGAGGTAGTGTGTTCCTAGTTAAACACCCACACACAGCTTATTTGTGGAACAGGGTAGACTTACCAATACACGCCAAGAAATGAATACCGACAAGTCACTTGAAAATACTGTGAGACAAGAAAATTAGATGTCTATCCTCACCATTGGGTTGTTGATACTTTGATTTTGTTTTAACTCCAGATTAATTAGAAATTGCATGTCAGCTATATTTGGAACAAATGAACTAGAAAGCCTTTGGTTCACATTGTTGAAAGTAAGGATGGGGTACTAGTCATCTGGTCATAGTCCTAAAGTTAAAAGGGATATATTTAGGCATCCAAACCCTTGAGGACTACAAGGCCCCCTTCATTTCTAACACTGCTACATTTCCAAGCAAAATGTCAAGAGTGATGTCTGTTATGCAAGACCTATGATTGAAGTGTCCTTATCATTCTGATGTTTTCGTGCACACAGATCCCTATGTATTATGAAGGGTTCCAAGTGTTTGCCATTAACCCGTGCAGTGATGCTTTAAAACCATGATCGATACCGGGTGGTGTAAGGCCTTGTCTGGCCTGCAGCTACTGCACATGTTTATTGACTTCACAAGACTGTCAGTGTGACATACAGTCAACAGTCATATCCTTGATCCTGATGTGTCACAAGTTGACATCATTTACAACTTCTGTCTCAGACTGCCCTCCTTCAATTTACGATGTTGCCGATATGGTGGAATGATAAATGACACTTGTTGAATATACATGTATGTTACCTTGATGTATCAGTTTTGCTGATGGCATGCTAAAAGTTGTGAATATAAGCATGATTGACTTTAATGTCAGGGTGTAACCATGTGTATAATACACAGGTTTGACTTAGCTAGGCCTAAGAAATAAATCTGTTTTTGTGATAACAACACAAGGCGAAATGATACAGGGTGACTGTTGTATCTGTCAGGTTTTGATATGTCTTTCTGTCAATAATAATCATAGTTCGAAAGTAACTTGTTCAGAGACTAGTATAATTCAGGAAGGACTGCCTAAAAGTAGAATGACATATCTCCATATCCTTATAAAAAGTTGAATAGAATACTGATACTTTGAAAACTCATATTTGAATTTATGGAAATATTTAGCAAACTTGACACAAAAATAAATTCAAGTTGTTCTGGTTATTTACTCATAAGATAATCAAACACAACAATGTCATACGGGTTCGAATCTCATTCGATGTGTTTCAGTTGAGTTAAAGTTGATTATGTGTTTTCAGTAGATTCATCTTTTAAAAGAAACAAGTGGATGGAGACTGTTTCATACTTATAAACCCGTACATTTTTGTTTGCAGGCCAAGCTGAGAGCTTCACTGTCATGGATTTTACATAAGGCATATCGAGATTCCATACCGGCCGAGTTCAAGGATCCATTTTACGAAACAGATCAGGTATGACTTGCACATGATTTAGAATATTGTCACATTCTTTTGCTTTTCTACCTACTTGCGGGACACATGATCAAGCCATCTCAAGGACAGAGTTGCATGCCTCCCCTTTGCCAGGATCTTCTGGTCATGGATTTCAGATTCAACCTGCTAATGATCACTAGTCTGTCTGCATTCTATTCAGATTTGTCCGTCTATCCAAAGTGGTGAACACTCTCAACCCTCATCACTTTGGACTTTCTCCCACATTCCATGATAAAAGTTCTGAAGTACTGTTCAAAACAGTGTTGAACCTAATTTTGATCATACATTATCATTGTGTGATTGCAGTCCAACAAGTGGATAAGTGGTTTACAATTCTTATATATCATTGCCCTCTAGATATTCTGGTCAAGGCTTGGTGACATTACCTTAAAAAAAAGACTAGACGGTTTGTGAGAGATAGGTGCCAACCCTTTCACCTGATGCTAGTCATATCATTGTTGATGTAATTGAACTTTGGTCTCCATAGCCTGACTCTCTAGCTAATATTGTCAGTCTCCATGCTTCACCTACCCATATATAATTCAAACGGTCCTGCTTGAGCCTTCTTCAGTTCTTCTTTGTGCTTTAAATTGATTTCTTGAGTCAGACATTTGTGGAAAAGTTTGTTGGCAGGGTTTCTATAGTCATCTTTATACTGTATTTTGTGTTTTAATGTGGGTACCATGGTAGAGATTGATTCATATTTTTCACACATGCTTTGAGGAAAGGCAAATGTAATTGTGAGAGCAGCTGATCTAAGTAACTTAGAGTGAAGATTTGGAAATGATCCTATTATGAATCTCTTGTGAGTTCATCTCAACCTTACATGCCACTCTCATTGATTTTGGGTTGTTGTTTTTTTAACGCTGCAATCAGTAATATTCCAGCTGTTTGACAGCAGCCTTTAAATAATTGTGTCTAAACCAGACAGTCCAGTGGTCCATCATGTTTGCAACAATCCACACTGTCTGGGTACGATAACACGCAAATCAACCAGGGACCCAAGTCGAACCACCCAATCCATGTGGTGGCCCTGAATGTGAGCATGGCAAGTCCATAGGTTCCGTCGGGGTCCATAGGTTGCTGGGGACTTATTCTAACCCTTGTGGCCACTGTGGAAGAAGCTGACAGAATGCTGAGTACAGCAAGAATTATACTTCTATCTAATGTTAGACATTTATCTTGTTCATGTAATATCTTTATGTGGTATGTGTTTTCAGGGAGCATGGCAGATGAAACCTCACCTTGTTCGACTTCTGACATCCAGCGAGATTTACTGTCAAGCATGCACCAATATGTTTCCCAACAGATCATCGCAATGGCAGGGTGAGAAAAACTCTTTCACTATACCCCCAGATTCAATGTTGTCCTTGAACACTTGTGTGATGTTGTATTCAGTTATTATATCTGATTATGTTTTTACATATTTTTTTTAAAGTAAAGTGTGTCCTTGAGACTTGCTCCTCTTGAGTTTAAATCTAGGGATCACTTCAGTCTTCAACTTTTGGTGGTAGAAATTGACAAGGACCCCTTGACTTTCAGGCTTAATTTCAAACACTCTTCAGCATCAGCATCAACATCAGCACCATGCATACATGTGCTTGAGTGTTTGGTAAATGTCTCCTACCTCAATAAGCTGATAGGCCGCAATGTGACTGAAATATTATTATGTTCAAAGGGGGGTAAAATCCAACTGAACTTGATTACAGGTGATTGATTGGTTACTCTATACCTATCTTGTCTATGTATTCATGAATTGACTGAATGTTGACCAGGTCACTGGAGCATCATCCAGGTGTTGTCTCGGAAAGGCATCTATGTAACTGGCTCAGACGACTCCACAGTCACTGAAACTGTTCTCATCCAGACAGCCCCATTTAATATGGTAAGTAGTTGTTTACTTACACTCTTTGTAGGGGTTCCAAGGTTAGAGTGATCCTAAGTAAGCTTTGCTTGTTATTGTTACTAGAATGGAATAGGTGTTCAAGCTCCATGATTTAGTGGGACATTGCTATCACTATCTGTCACCCACTAGTTTGTCTGGCCAACACATATTCATGGTGCCAGGATGTAGCTGGATTATTGTTGACTGCGATGTATCACAACAAACAAACCATACAGTCACACATGTTCTTTGACAGTCATTCCCTTTCTAATTTTGTATCAGCAATACCATATGATAAAATTGAGTAAAATCGCTTATAAATAAAAGTGTGATAGTAAATATTACACTAACTTGAACTGCATAATTAGTTTCGCATCAGTGAAATACATGGAGGTTAAGTTATTTAAGAAGTTAATTTAGTTAAGGACACCTGTTTAATATACCTTTCATTGGTGTTAACACTTATGTTAACTGATGTTAAAACAAATTATCTCTTTGAAGTATTTAAAAATTAATTGACATTTTTGTCAAAATGTATCACTGGTTATAATTATGTTTCCATGACACTAAGATGAAGATGTTTGTTCAGGATGCCCATGTGTCGCTGATTACCTCACTCATGGTGGCCTACACATGTGAACAGGTCACAGTTGAAAGGGTCGTGCAGGCAGTAAGGTATGTAACTCAGTTTAAGTGGAGCTGTGTTAATTGTACAACTATCTGAATAGAACAGTGTTTCTGAACCATTTCCATTTTGTATTCTTGTCCAAATATGATTTTGGAAGTAAAGGGTACCTTTTAGTTGTATTGACAAGAGGCACTATAATGGTCGTAGATGAATAATAAGGCTTGTATTTCTTAAAAAGAATTTATCTTTAAATCAAAAGAATTCAAGCTGTATGGGTTGAGATAATGTAGATAATTCAGTAACTTTGCTTTTTCAAGACGACTTACGACATTCAATGCTTCAAGTGAGCTACCGTCAGGTGCTGAGGATACTGTGATGTTCTGGATCAACAAGGTGTGCTCTGTGGCCCAGAGCCGAGACCCCAAGTCTCAGCATGTGCTCCAAGGGGAGACCAGCCAGAAAGTAAGTTTAGGAGCCCACTGGATGTCTTGGTAGAACGGGACCCCTATTGTTTTGTGCCTTCAGAAAGGGCCACCTGGTAGTCATTGTTTGAAAATATCATCCATTGCAATTAGTGCTAGGTTCAACTTTGTTGTATCTGAAGGTGGCTATATCATAACTTGAAAAGTTCACATTTTGAAGCCTAGTGGTTTAGGTTTAAACAAATTACTGAATCTTAAATTTTGAAAAAATTATACCATATTCTTTGATAGAAATCAGCTCAATCTAGCCTGAAAGTCCATTACAATAGTCTCCCTCAACCTCAAACTCCTCAACCAAAAATTTAATGACTATTCAAACCTCATTTGAAGTAAGGAAGAGAATATATGGATGTCAACCTCTTTATTATGAGGAAAACGTTTCGGAGTGAAGGAGTAAGCATATACTCTGAAACGTTGTGTTCCTCATAATAAAGAAGTTGACATCCATATCTTCTCTTCTTTATGTGAATCACTTCTAAATGCCTTTCAAAGACCTCATTTGAAGTATTTTAATTAATTCACATGTACACAATTTCCTAGTTCATCAATACATTGTAACAAAAACAATCATTGAAAGCACACTGAGTTCAGAATTTAACCATTGCTAAACATACACATGAATTATTGTTCTTTGATGATTTGGTAAAATGTGTTCAATTAGCATGATTAGCAATGATCGGCTTTAACAATGATCACAAGATGATCGGGCATTGTGAGGTGCAACCATGATGTTTTCACAATCAGTAACTGCCTGGTGAGGATTAAGCCAATGGCAGATTCTTAGAAAAGACATGGATTAGGTAAACTGAAATCAAGCGGACACGGTCTGTTTTTTCATTAGATCTGGGGTGAATGTAACTCAACTGACACTGACATGGCCGATTGGAAAGGCGTCATGCATCATCAGGTGTTAGTGGATTTTGATCGGCGACTTTTACATTTATGAGTTCCAGTTTTTTTTATGAAAATATGCTATTACATGAAATATAAAATTTTGCATGGTTGTTACTATGTGCTGTGAAGACATCATGGGTGAGGACGGTGAGAATAAGGAATTTGAAAAAAAATATTGGTTACATGTTTTCTATGTGTACCTTGAATCACACGATAGCTCTAACATGAAGGGTTTGTCCCTTCATGTTTGAAATAGAGCAAGTCAAGATTAATGATTAATAGTGATCAGCTTGAAAAATATCTGTAGTATAACTTCAATTGACCCTTTTACCTAACCGAGGGTAACAGCAGCTCTGAAATTCCTTGAAATTATTATTTATAACCTTGCTTACTTGCAGGTGCGTATTGTTAGTCGAACACCTGTGGGAGAGCCAGCACAAGCTCCTGTGATACATGATCTAATGGCTGACCTTAGTGATGGCTGTTCTCTTGCTGTACTGGTCAGCTTCTACTGCCCAAACCTGCTCAGCTATAGTGGTAAGTTCACATACGTCCCTCTTAGAATCCTTGGACAGTGTCCCAGTGTTCCATGCTTGTTGTACAATGGATGTATGTGAAAGACAAGGTTGTCATGTTTACCATCTCATTAAAGTATATCCATGATTGATGTCACAAATGTGGTCAGAAATCAATGACTTTACTCTTCATTTTCTTGTGTTCCATGCTTGTAACAGCTCACGGAAGACCCATGGCTACAATGCATGACCTGACCCACTGCAAAGTAGCTTACGCCGAGTGGGTCATTGCTCATCATATCAACCACTGGTTTTCCTTTGTACTTGGTGCATCCTTACCCCTGTGTGTCCCCTTTTGGATTCCGGGTTAGAACTGGTCCCCAGCAACCTATGCTGGTCGTAATAGGCGACAAATGGTCAGAATTGGTGTTTTTGTTAATAGCATCAGAGACACATTGCTCACAATATCTTTCACCAGATTGTCTGGTCCAGACTTGATTATTTACAGGCGGCCATCATATTGCTGAGTGCAGCATAACCTGGGTATGAATTATGGGGACCTGGGTAGGAATTTATCTCCAGCACTGTATTGCTGGGTGACTAACTTGGGTCAGGCTGTCAGAGACATTGCTCATTCTTTTTGTCTGGTTGCCTTGCACACAGTTTTTTACAGGTTGTACTAAAGGTCACATATGGCTGACTGTTTGTTGTTTAATGCCATACTCAGCATTATTCTACCTGTATGATGGCAGTATGACTGTAAATAATTGATTCCTAGACCAGACTATCCAGTGATTGACATGAGAATCAATCTATGTAATTTGGATATGATGACATGCATCAACCAAGTCAGCGAACCTGACAACCCGATCCCATTTGTAGCCCCTTACGACAAGCATGGATTGCTGAAGACCTATTCTAACCCCGATCTTCATTGGTTTATTGCTTACTGCAGCACAAAACAACATTCACTCAGTACATGCCTTTTCACAAAACAATAGAGCCAAACTGCACCCAGTGTTTTAAGCTCACACAAAAATAGAGCTACACATATCAGTGAAATCATGAAAATATATTTATTTCTTCCCATTCCATTGTTTATTCAGATATTTGCCTGAAGGAGAACCTGGGTATTGCGGACTCACTGTACAACTTGCGACTGGTGAAGACGTTCTGTGAACACAACATGCCGGCTGGGTGCTTCCCCTTCACCTATGAAGATCTCCTATATACACCCCACACACTTCGAGAAAACATCCTAGCCTTTCTTGGAGAACTCTTCTACTGGTTTGAAATACAAAAGTTTGATGGTAATTGTCAGTACTCGTACATTGCATGATGTAAATGTTCTGACTCATTTTTGTATTCTCTCTTCTTTTTCCCCACCCCACGATATGGCTTATGGCTTATAATGTGAGGGGATGTGGTGCCTTTTGTTATTGTGGGGGTTGGGAGTTATTTGTCATCTTCTGAAGGACTCTTGTTTACCATGTGGGAACTTAGTTATGCATGTACTGGGGAAATGTCTAAGTTACCCTAAAGACCGCCTCCCTGGAGAGCAGAAGGTCAGGGGTTCAATCCCCGTCCGCGTCATACCAAAAGATTAAAAGATGGTACTTGTTGTTACCCTGTCTGGCGCTCGGCATTAAGGGGCTAAAACAAGGACTGGTCTGCTCGGAGTCGGTATACTGTGACTGGATGGGGTATTCATGTTAAATTGCGGCATGGTATCTCAGTGTGCTAGCACTATAAATCGGCATCAGTCTGGACTAGTACAAGCCGCCACACAGACCCACGTGCATGCACGTCGCGATATAAGTGCAATAATCTTGGACGCGACGTTAAACCCAATTTCACCTCGTCTCACCTCACCTCACCTCACCTCACCTCACCTCACCTCACCTCACCTCACCAGTTACTATAAAGTAAGTGCCTGATTTATACAAATGAAGAATTTGATTTGAATAGCATAATGAAGCAAAAGATCTACCCTTATACCGATTGACTGATCACTGTATAACTCCGTATTGTTCTGTTATTAATTCCACCTTTAGCAATTCCAGGGCCAAAAAAAGTTCCGTAGTACCTCCATAGTACCTGTCAGAATAGCCCACTGATGGAAGGGATCATTGATCCTGCTGTCAAGGGCTGGTTCGCAGGCCCAAACTTGATTAAATACAGGATCCCATCATATAGCTGCAATATTGCTTACGTTCACTCACTTTGATTAATGTCAGTGGTAGGTTGTTGAAACTAAACAGTATTGCAACTAAGTTGTGAGTGTGTGAGTGTGAGTGTGGACTAAAGTGGATGTGCTTGTCTCCCCCTTGTCCAGGATCCCGGCCCAGCACTGGCCAGGCTCTGGCAGGTGTGCCACAAGTCAGCAACGCAACCAAGCGCAGCTTCCACCAGGCAGAGGATACACAGTTAACCAGTACCCCGGAGCTCAACAAAGCCACAAGTCCATCGTGAGTCATGCAGTTTGTATTGGAGACAATTTGCCTCAGACAATCTTAACAAAGAAAAAGGAATCGTGGATGTTCCTTAAGTTTGGGGTTTGTGGGAGAATTTAATAAAAGTATAATTTATTGTTCTTTGGAATTGGGAGGATTGAGATCAAGAGAGCAAGCTGTGAGATATTATGGATTTGCCCTCCCTGCTGAATTAATGGTGTAAAACCCAAGCCTTGGATCTTGATTGCTTTTATTGCTTCATGAGGAAGAGAAAATTTAAGCTTCTAGTTATTGATTTTATTACATTAGATGAATATTAAGTGCAGTTTGGAAAGAAAAACTAACCAAAAAGGTCAACTTTCTGGCACCAGGTTCCTGAGGATGTGCTGCACACAGTGATATCAAAGCTGGGACAGCACGACGGTCAAGTGTCAGAATATATCATCACACAGAGTACTGGGACATAACAAAAGCTTGTAAACTATTTGGAAAAGTTCATGAACTGTGAGAAGTAGAACATTCATTTCTGCTGACATTACCCTCTATCACCTGAAACAATCTGACTAACTTTACCAGGGGTAGAATGTTTTGATTGAAGAAATACCAGATGCCATTTCTACTGTTTCTAGATCGGGAATTCCACCAAGACAGGGACCATTGTTACACAAGCGACACCAAGGCAAGACAGGTGTCAATGAAGAAGAACCTGTTCGATACTTAGGTTTGTTTCATTTTTCAGTTGAGAAAATATAATAAGTAAGGATTCAGGATGGTAACAAACCAAGACCAATTTAATTTCTTGTTTCATAGAAATTTCCGCATGTCGAGAAACAGGCGACAAGCATTGTTTAAAGTGGCATTTAATGATTATTTTTTTTAATTCTTGTCTTAATTATGTGTTACTTTTTCATGATCGTAGGCAGTCTGGCCCAAGCTGGAACAAATTGATGTTATGTTTATGTAATTACTGCTATATAGAACCACCGAAACACCCTCGTAGAGCACACTCCCTTAGCTCACCCCAGGAGAGAGACACCATCCGACAGTCTGTGATAGCCTGGGAGGAGCCTGCGTCCCCAACACACAGGTAGGCTGGACGTGTAATATATTGTAGTTGGGGATTAGCATCAGTCATGTCAGCTTAGTCAAATAGTTCAATAATGTATTCAACATTTTTCCAGCTATTCTTCGTTTACTACCTCTCAGCCATTTTAAATAAAAATTGTTAAGCGTGCCCAGAGCCTCAATGTGATGTATTGTAAAGATGTACCCTATTATCTTTTTGATTTCACGTTTCCAATCATTCTCTTGATTTAGCCAATTTCACAGTTTACCAACATTGTAACAAGGCATGATGACCTGTAGAACAACAACATAGTTCTATTATCAATTTAATATTTTAATACTGTTGTGTTTGCAGGCAACAAGGCATGAAGACACCAGTTAACCAGAGTCAGGACAGTCAAAGTAGTGCACTCCTGGCAAATGTCAGCATTGACTCTGAACTCAATGAAAGCTTTACCGATGACCAGCTTGGTAGCATGAATTTTGACTTGGACAAAAGTCAGTCGCCACAGCCAACATTTAGTGATCGACAAACTGTGCCATCAAACCTGCTTGATCCAAGTCACCCTGATTATTTAGAGATAGAGAGTGTCAACTCGCGTCAGTCAAATATGAACAGTTCTAGGAGTGAAAAGCTGGAACCTTTAATGCCAGCTATTATTCGTCCTGCAAAAGAAAAACATTCAAATCACACCAAAGCCCAAGAAAGAGGTGATCCTTTTCTAAGAAAGAAATCAACATCACCAACAAAGCCAAGAAAGTCCCGTAGTTCGCCTGTCAGCAGCTCGGTGACACCCAGTCAAGGGGACATAACTGTTGAAGCTGTGGTTACTCTTCCAGGAGATAGTAGTCAAGTGATGAGTAGTGATGAAACTGTTGTGACTCCTCTCCCTGACGACCTGCTGACAGCTCGGTCAGGGGATGGGGACTGTGATAGCCCTGACTCTCAGCAGAAAGGTTTCGAAGCATTCTATATAAATCCAGAGATCTCTGTGGAGGTTTCATTGCCTCCTGTGTCAAGTCAGTCTCCCAGGGCACTTAGCGCAGGTTCGCACTCGGACGAAAGTGAGGTGACTGCTAGTTACACAATTGACCAAACTCATACGTTAGAAACTGCTAGAGCAGCTGGGATTCCTGTTGTTCAGAGTGGAGATGGTGTTCATATTCGGAGGACAACCTCTCGGGATGGTTCAGTGTCGAGCAGTAGAAGCTCAGGGGACTTCTCGGATCATGAATCACATAAGATACATCTTGATCATAAAGCTAGAGAGACAGCTGACTTGAAAACCTCTCTTTCGTTTCCTTCACGAAATCGTCAATCCCCAGACGTTGTAGACACCCAAAAACCTAAACTTGTGATCACTGACCAACTGCCAAAGACATTGGCTCAAACACTGGCTAACAAAGATAAACGGCCTCTTACTACAAACTTTGCTGAAATCAAACGAATTAAGGAGACTTATGGAAATATTGATAATTCTGGTTTGGTGTATATGCAGAATGGCCAAGAACCAAAAGGCAACGGAAATACAAATACGCTCAAATCAGCTTTTTATAGGAAACAAAATGAACCAGGGGGAAAGAAAACAACTTTTGCAACACTGCCAAATGAAACCACATGGATAGCCCAGAGAGCATCGCAGGCCTCAGCAGCTCAAGCTCAGAGCAATGGAGCTGAATCCCAGCCTGTGTCATCCGAACTCTCTCAGCTGAGGATGAAGCTGGATGAGAAGAGGAAGGAGATTGAGAAGAAAAAACAGAGAATGGAGATGCAACAAAACAAGATGAGACGGAGGCTGGGGAAGGATGCGTTCTACAGGGTAGTGTCACGGCACATGGATGATGTACCTGATGGCACAACAGCTCAAGCGGTTCCTGGTGATAGAACTGCATCTGAGATCGGGGAGATGCTCGGACATCAAGTCCCTGGGGCCACTGATGCTCACAGGCCAACATCTTTTGTAGAGCCTTCCTCACATGCTGCTCAGAGGTCAAGGCCATTTTCACGAGAGGGAATTCAACAAACTATAGACAATGTTCGAAAGAAGTGGTTCAAGGAGGATGATTTAGTTGGTGGGGCAAAACCTCCAGATGATGAGTGTATGACTTTAAGCCAAGAGGAAAAACTGGGCCCACTTTTACATGTACAATCTCAGCCAGTTCCTTCTCCTCCCTCACAGGCAATGACAGATAGTCAGCATAGCACTAGTAGTCAACACAGCACAGGCAGCCAACCTGAGTCATTTGAAGTTTACGATTCATCTCTGGATAAGCTCAATAAGAGTTTAACAGATCTCCAGGGTGAAATAGCAAGGCTGTCATTACAACAGGAGCAGATAAAATTCCTTCAGTCGCCCCAGGGCTATGCCCAAGCCGACATGCAGATGCACCTACAAGGTGGACCCATGACAAATGTTTCCAACATCCCACCCCAGTCTTTTCCCAAACAGACTGGTTACACCACGCCTCCTCAGCAAGTCACACAGATGGGGCAGGGAGGACCTCATCAGCCATATGCGACCAGTCAGAACCAGTTTGTGCCAGGAGCTGGTAGTCAAGGGTTCCCTGCTCCTGCAACGTCTCAGATGTACGTAACCCAGTCAGCTTCACAGAAACATGTGCCATACCAGCCTTCTCAGACACTTCCATATGCCAGTCCCATCATGGCGGCTACGAGCTACCAACCGGTTACCCAACCCACCTCCAGCCATCATATTCCTCAGTACTCGACAATGGGATCTCAAATGCCCACTTCTACCCACCATCCTTTGCCTACTTCTACCCCCATCCCACCCTCGGCACTGTCGACAGAGCGAAAGATCCCCACCCCTCCTGGTTATACTCTCCCCCCTCACTCTCCAGATGCCCAGCCCAATGCTGACACTGCCTCAGAAGATAGCTCTTCCACCCAGGACACCATGGCCAATGGGAATGGATTCTTTGTTTCATTTGGGGATGAGACACCTAAGAGAGCAAAACCCAAACTTGGCAAGGACAGGACAAAGAAGGAGCAAAAACCGGAAACACCTGTTTCCAATCCAGCATCAGCAGCGCCTCAAGCAGCAGCAGCACCTGCAGCATTGGCATCTTCTTCCTTGCCAGCCTCTGCCTCACCGTCTTTCTCCAATACCAGCGCACCATCACAGCCGCCACCCAGTGTGCATACAAACCATCACACTGCAAATACTGGCTTTGTGATTGAAGAACGGGAACTCACTCCAGATAAGGTAAGCGTAGTTGTCCATGCAGTACAGTATGATAAAGTTTATCAGTAGTTCAGGTGAATGAATGCTACCATTATATAAATAGATAATAGTTGGTATTTACATGAGTTACATGATTGAATGTTGCAATAATTAAAATATTTTACATCACTGTACTCTAATTTTCCCAATGACAGTTTAGTAACGTGCAGTGACAATGTCCTATAAGTTTGCTGGTTAGGCAAAGTAAGTTCTGGCACCAGTCTGTACATATGAATTTGACTGTCTCAGGTTCAGAACTCTGATGATGAAATGGCAAAGAAGAGGGAGCGGATCCTGCAGATGCAAGTGAAGAGGAAGGAGGAGCAGGAGAGGAAGAGGCTTGAGAAGGAGGATGAAGCTGCCAAACAGCGGGAAGCACTGAGGTGAGCAAATGTGACCACAGTCAGTTCCGTCAGGTGGGTGGGCATGAAGTATAGCCCGACAGCAGGAAGTACTGAGTTCAGTAGATCTACACCACTGTCAGTTCCGTCAGATGGGTGGGAACAGTAAGGAGCACTGAGTTCAGTAGATCTACACCACTGTCAGTTCTGTCAGGTGGGTGGGAACAGTAAGGAGCACTGAGTTCAGTAGATCTACACCACTGTCAGTTCCGTCAGATGGGTGGGAACAGTAAGGAGCACTGAGTTCAGTAGATCTACACCACTGTCAGTTCCGTCAGATGGGTGGGAACAGTAAGGAGCACTGAGTTCAGTAGATCTACACCACTGTCAGTTCTGTCAGATGGGTGGGAACAGTAAGGAGCACTGAGTTCAGTAGATCTACACCACTGTCAGTTCCGTCAGATGGGTGGGAACAGTAAGGAGCACTGAGTTCAGTAGATCTACCCCACTGTCAGTTCCGTCAGATGGGTGGGAACAGTAAGGAGCACTGAGTTCAGTAGATCTACACCACTGTCAGTTCTGTCAGGTGGGTGGGAACAGTAAGGAGCACTGAGTTCAGTAGATCTACACCACTGTCAGTTCCGTCAGGTGGGTGGGAACAGTAAGGAGCACTGAGTTCAGTAGATCTACACCACTGTCAGTTCTGTCAGGTGGGTGGGCAGGAAATATAGCCTGAAAGCATGAAACACATGACACACAACAGCGTTAGAAATTGGCACTATTCCTAGAGTCCTTGCCAAGCTGCCTAATAGTTAAGGTATCATAAGGACTAGTATAAATTTGCCAGTTTTAAGGGTTTCACTATGTGTTATCATTATAAGGACTAGTGGACTAAAGTGTTAGTTCTATCGCTGCACATAGGCCAGGAGACATACTCTGCTTGTCAGTCCAGTCATGTTGGGGGGCATGAAGTTTAGCCAATCAGACAGGTTGTTGGAGCATGAGGTATAGCCGGTCAACATGTTTAACACACAGGACAGTTGATACACATCACCTTGTCAGTTCAGAAAAATACCTATTGTGATATGTGTACATAGATTGAAGCAAGAGGAAGCCGAGAGGAAGAAGGCAGAAGAAAAGGCGCGGAGGGACCAGATCTACCAACAATATCTACATCGGAAACAACATCAGGAAGATGAGGAGAATGGTATAGAAAGACCCCAAGAGAGACCAGCCAAGTCCAAACCACGCCCCAAGTCCATGTTCGTGAAAGCCACCAACTCACCCCCTCATGATGACGAAGGTTTGGTTTGCTCGCTGGACGATCTCTCTGCTCGAGCCTTTGTTATCCCTTCTTCAGGTGGTGCTGCCTGTAAGTGTGTGCACGCTGTTGCTTCTTTTGGGTTCTGTGTTCTTGTGCATCTAGCAAACACATCGCAGCAACTTGATTTAAAGGAAGAGATTTTGACCTGATGAATACATTGATTCACAATGGTGTATAATACATTTGGAACAAACTTCTTGGTGGTTTTTTTAATGTCAAGGCAGATTTATAAAGATAGTACCATTTTTTTAAATGATTCCCTTCTGTGGTTCAGATATATATCAAAAAGAAATTATGGCTTCATAGTTACATGTGTTTGCTAAGATGCATGTGTTATTTTGTTCTAATTTGTCATTGGAATAAATGAGTTAATAAATTATATTGATTGATTTTTCATAAGTATAAAAATTTAGAAACAAATATATTGTTTTGTCTGAAAATTTCAAAAGTTAGGCTAAGCTTCTCAATTTGCAATGAGAGACAATATTGACTCTGTCTAGGACATTTGGCCACCTTTTCAATTAATGATACTTTCTTTCATTTGATTTGAAATTCAATCAATACTGATACGGAAATTATTCTGATCAATGTAAAAATACAGTATTAACATTATACTGAAATTATTTTATGAGCATGGACTTAATATGCCATTCCTTAGAAAGCATGCAGTTAATGTTTGTTCAATACTAAATATCTCCATAATGAGACAAAGGTAAGTGAAACATTTCTATGCGGTTTTATAGCTTAATTTGATTCTCTTTTTTTGCAGCTAATTCTTTTACATTTTTTGTTAGTTGAGCTTAGAGTATCCATCTTGGCTGGTTTGATATATGAATGTTGCTTTGGATATATGAAGAATGCTTTAGTGACGGTATGTACAATATACTGCTAGATGTATGCTGGTGCGATGTCTGCCACAGAGCCTGTACATGGACATAACTTCCCTGTATCAAGAGTGATTGTGTGTTGGCAGGTGTAGTGCCCAGGTACCTGTGTTTTCAAAGTGTATCATCCCAACAAAAGCATATTTGAGATACCCACATGCTTCAATAAAACATAAAACAAAATCAACTAAATACAAACCGCCCTTCAAATGATAATCCACGTACCACGGTGTTAATACTGTACTTCACATGTGGTCTTAACTGTCTAAACTGTCAGAGAATTGATACATTGGTCACAGCTTGACTGCCTATGTGTCAGTATTTGCAGATGAAAACAGTTTGCATTTAAGGTAGATTTATGATTGTAAGAAATTTGAGAAGTTTAGCTGTAAGGCTTTTAAGTTTCAGGATTAGTATTTGAAAACACTCATGTATCTAGGTAGAAAACAAAATATGACCTGCCTGTTTGTATCTCCAGTGATACACTGCCTGTACCACTATCTCTATAATCTGTAACATGCAAGTGTAGTGTCTTGTCTGTCTCCCTTTGCCAAAGTCTGCTTGAAGAATGCAGTGCATTGTGATTTGGTGGTGGAATGCGTCCAGCATCTGCCACAGTGGCTCTGGCTTACAGACCTTGTTCCCACAGTGTAGAACTGTTAGGCTGTCCTTGAGATTGTGGACCTTTTGGATCCTCTTGCATTAGATGCAATCAAATTAACCATGCTGAATAAGATGCTGAACAAGCTATGAAGCTGTATTTATCTATCCTGACTAACGCTAGCAGCGCTTACGTCTATTGGTGCTGAAGATCAACATTTGTTAATGAAAACCAAGAGAGTGACTTATCAGTGGATAGTGCTTGGGGCCACAACAACAACTTGGTGTTGATGTTGGATGACCCAGCTGTGGGGACAACATGCTACAGTCTTTGCAATATTACTTCAGGAATTTCCTGTTACTTCTTGGTTTTGTGTTTATCTATCTGTATCAATTACCCTATTGTAAAGGTGATTAGTATGCCTGCAAGATTGCTTGAAACATCAGTAACACCTTATGATTTTTATCTGCTATTTATGATGGAGGGTGTGCTGTTTCCTTCCTTCAAGGGGGAATTCATTGCCCAATTTGGCAAGTACAACACTGTGTTGTGTGGATAAGGCATTAACATGATTAAGATGAGCATGATGATCAGATGCTTGGAACTGCACAACCTTCAACAGCATGAAAGCCTTATTCTTGTTTTTGTTTTCAGTCTTTTAGCTTAGACTGCATATGAGAAATGTTGCTGTGTTTTTATTTGTTTTAAAGTTTCACAACTTTTAAGTTTATGCTCTATTTTGTATCATGGAAAGTGTAATCTGTGTTTGTTGAATATTTGGCTGAAATGTTTTTGCTCATTTTGGATTTATATGTTGACAAATCTGTATTACAAGTTGACATTTCAAGTTGCCTGTCTTAATGTGATTGTTAACAATTGCCTTGAAGAAATGGAAAGAAAACTTTGAAATTTCTTTTTAATAAGCGCTGTAATTAAAAGGCTTTATTCACTGGAAATTCATATCTAAAATTTAGGAGCAATTGCCACAGCAATATTTGCCCCCATGCACTAACAAGTAGAATAGATTCTATTGGAAGCTTGTTTACTCCTATTTGATTGGTTGGGAGCTGGCCGGTGGCGCCCTCTAGTTATGTTTTGTTGCATCATTCCCACATCCAGTTTGCTTTTTTCAGCCTCAGCCTCCTCTTCTCCTCGCCCCACTCTTCATATTCCCCATACACGAGGAAAGTTGAGAAAAGCAGGTCTGTACTACTAACCCCTGAGTCCCGTAATTCAAAACTTTGTGCCCTGATACACCTAATACTTGCCACAGTTTCACAAAGAGACATTAGGGTGGTGACTAAATCTTTTGACACAGTCATTGAGTCAATAGCAACACTGTGATTGCTCAGTGAAATGTACCTTATGGCTCTTCCACCAACAGCTCATGTTGCTACAGCTATTGTACCTCCTGTGCTGTGATAGATTCCCCCAGGTGGTACAATTAATTAAGGTCTATTGGAAAAACAAGAAATGCATTTTCTCTCTATCAATTTTTTCCCTACATGTTCAAAATAACTAATTAGGGTAACAGTGAAAACTGAAAATTGATCAGGGAAATGTTCTTGAACATGTATCAATCAGTTTGAAAGCTGCAGGGATATACTGCCCTATCAGGTCCACTGTACACAGCACGTCACCCGAGTGTTCTTTGACCCACTCTCACAGTAATATATGTGTACACAAGAAGTGATTTCAGTTTACATGCACAAAGTTTTGAATTGGATCACAAATTAATGCTGTAGCTTCATGTTGTACGATCCAGTCATGTCATCTGTATATCCACCAAAGTATCTGAATAGGCCCACTTAAAAGAACCGCAGCTGTTTTTGCAAGAAAATGTGGATTTTCACAGCAGGAGACGGTGGTAATAGTTTGCAATAGCAAGATTTGATTTGGTGATGGGAACCTGCAATACTGCACTGCCAGCTTATTGATCAAACCTTTGCCCAGGGTAACTAAATGGTTATTAACCTTAAACAACAAGACAGCAGTTTTTGTGTGGAGACATTTGCAGACTCTTAATATTCATGGACCAGCCATTGTCTTCTTAAGATCAGAATCTTATTTTATTGTGAAGTCAATTTCTTTGAATTATTGTGTATTTATGTGCAATAGTTAAATGAAATGAAGACCACATATTTACAACTTAGACATTCCAGAAAAGAATATTTAGAAATCAATAAAAGAAATATTAGAAAACAACTCACTACCCCATTTCCCATGACCTGATGTCTAGCTTTAGATTAAGTTTGGAGAAGTTTCTCAAACCCTTTTTATACCAAAGATATATTATAAAAAAGAAAATAATAACTATTTTGAGCCACGAGTACAGAAAATGTAACTGTTTTAGCATATAACATTTAGTGTTTACAAGTTAATCAGTATGTAACTTGTGTATCAGTAACTGTAAGCTCATTCCAACTTACCATTACTTTGATCTCTCAGTAGTCTCACAGAAAACATTAAACCTATTCAGGCAATCCTTGCTATGACTTATATTCAAAAGCAGCTTGAATTCAGTTTAGTCAGTAAGGCATAGAAAACGAATTTTCTCGGTTACATCCCTTTTTCATACAAACTATTGTTATAGGATACTGTGAACAGTGAACTAACTGCATCCATGTGCATTGTGATTGTAGAGATGACCATAGACGTCATGGCTGCCTTGTGCTCATGACAAGCTTGTGAATGCCCTAGAAATCAGCCGATCGGCTTGTGAATGTTCTCCTTAGGAATCTCTTCTGGATGAGCTCTATCCTATTCTGAATGCCCTCTTGATATGGAATTGTCTTGTTAACCGATGCCTAAATTACTGACACACAGTGTGTGGACGTTTGCCATAATGCATCATTTCTCCCTACACAGTCTCTTGCAACACTCTAACACAAAATGGCCGCCCGGGAGGAATGACTTATCGGAGACCCCCCTCACCAGGTGGGTACTGGAACAGCGTTCACGTTACAGTGTAATCACGAATGTCATGTTGACGTCTTATATCCTGTGTGGTATTACAAGACAGATGGATGTTGTACTGTTACTGCAAGAGATGTAAACTTTCTATGTAACCATGGTAACATGTTTCTATGTTTTGACCTGTGGTAATCAGAAGTGAAGGTCACTCGTCGGCGTCGGCGCTGTCATTGTCAGAATGACTTGTTCAGAATAGTTGGCAATATTAATTTGATAATACATTCAAATATTAGTTCAAAGAAATTTAGAATCCCAGACCTACTACCAGTGGAAGTAGAATTATGTTTGAAAATCCTTTATCATAATGGAATTTAACATCTGAAAAAAGGTGTGTTTTAAAATATCAAAATATTATTTGCGAAAAAATATCTTTCTTGAATTGAAAATTTGCTTTCATCTTTGTCATTAATCTTCCAGAGGAAAAATGCAAAATAGTTGCACTGATATCAATTGTGAATTTTGGTTTGATGACTGAAGGCAGCTATGGCCATTTTCTTGAATTACACCATGGTCCAATAGGTTACAAGTAGCCATTGATTAACATCATTCAGTATTGTTACCCACGAGACCTTACTGATGTGTGCCCTGCAATAATACATCCGGAGTGATTTAATACACTAACACGTTGCCAGGTACAGTGAATGTAGTTGTTTTAGAAACATGTTGTACAGTAGGTTGGTGGTATCAATGTCCCCTTCCAACATCTTCGCCAGCTTGCTCATTTGCAGTGTGAAACTTTGTGTGGTGATTCTTGTTTGCTAGTAGCACAGCTCTCATCTGTCTTCCTGACAACTAGTCTGGTTTACACACAAACAAGCTACATTCCATGCAACTTGTTTTTATTAGTGTCTATTATGAAAGTTTCTCTTGATTTTATTGTGTTGAGACGACTGAATTTCAATAATGTTTTTCTTTTCAGCATTAAATGATCATTTTTTTTGTACTGCTAGTGAGATTGAAAGTCTGATTCATCGGAGTTTGACATATACACAATTTGCATATATATGCCATTTCATGGCATTTTCATTCAATAAAATGACATGGACCAGATTTTGGTATCACAGTAACAAGTAACATATATGGATATATATAGACATGGATTAACTCTCCAGATAGTTCCAGGTAATGAAAGTCTGTAGTTGAGAGTGAAAAACATGATCCTCAGATATCTGTCTCCAACAGTTTATTACTTCCATCAATGCCACAATCGTCATTGATTCAGTTGTAATGTATCTAGCCTGTGTTCCTCTAGATTTGTACCGACTGCAGCAGCGGCGTAACCGTAGCAACGACAGCAGTGAGACAGGATCTAATGCAGGATCGGACTATACTGGTGAGAACTATTCAAGATTATTCTTTCAAAAAGAGATCAGAAAATTATATATTTGCACCAGCTTATTTCTTCTTCTAATACTTGAGTCCTTTTGATATTGACAAACAAATATTTGACATGTAACACTCATTATCCTGCTCTGCATAAAGATCTAAAGGGTAATCTCAGCCAAATGAAAATAGATTAGTTGAAGAACTTGAAGTACATAAAGAAGAAAGAAGTGTATCTGTTCTATCTGTACAGGGTTTAAGTCAGATCGATACAAAAGTAACAAAACTAATCCCTGACCAGTGGTTCACTTCAGTGGATGAGGATGAGTTTGAATTCCTTGTTGTAATACCTTTAAAAAAACAAATCAATTATGTAGAAAAATCACCTTGAAATATGGCCTTTTCTGATGTTGCACTGACATGTTGGTAATGCAGATAACCTTCAGTTATACTGAAGGTGTCAACTGTATTTGTGAGTTCAGTGATGTGTGTTAGGATCGCTTGTACACAGCAATATTCCAGCTATATTACAGCGGTCTGTAAATAATCAAATCTGGGCCAGTCATTGATATCATGAACATCCACATGATTGGGATACAATGACATGAAATAAAACATGTCACCAAGCGTGACCGCCCAATAAATTTGGTCGCCTCTGACATGCAATGATTGCTGGGGACATATATTTTTGCCCAGACTCTCTACAAGGACATACTGATATAGTTATAGGATGCCACTCTGCACACTTATTTCAATGTGTAATGTAATTAAAAGCTTATAATTAAAAGCATCAAAATGAATGACTGAACAGTTATCTCTCGCTAGTCAATGCAATATAAGTGTTGAAGGGGACGTGTCTCTCATATTAATTTCTATCACAGGTCCCAAGTTGTTTGTGAAGCCCAGTTCGAAATCTAACCGCAACATCATCATGAACGCCATCAGTCACTGTTGTCTGGCCGGCTGCGTCAACACCGACACGAAGAACAAAGTCTTGGAGGTATGGATGAATAAACATGAACCTTTATCACAGATATTAAACCCCGCCAACATCTGAATGTTTCCATAGGGCCATGTTACAGTTATAAAGCACAGTTTTAAGCTTGTTTGAAATATTTGGAATACTTGCATTGTTTGTTAGTGTTACTCAAAATAAAATCCAGCTATTTGATTGGTCAGTTGCTATCTTGCAAACTCCCATTTAAGTAGGCCTCTGTACTTGTGACACATGTTACAAACTTATCATAATGTGTTCACAAGTAGGGTGTATGGGCTTTAATGAGCTGAGTGTGTACACCCCTCAACCTATGGTGTTCAAGCTCATTCAGCTCGTAAAATACTGTACACCCCATAGTGACACATGCAGCTCATATTCTTGAACCACTCAGGTAAGATCAACTTCGACATTTAAACTCGGATACCAGAGATATTGTAATGTTTGCTTACAACATCCTTTATTCAGGTGTTTCTCGTGACATAAGTTCCTGTCATTGAAAGAATTTAAGCTACTACCAAAGTTACCAATGTGAGATTTGCTGACAAACATCTGTTATGTAGTTACTTTTCCTTACCTACGACCCAGTCATTAAGCATAGATCATCTGAATAAGTCTGTTACAACAGTTAAGTTCGGCTAAACATGTGCAAGTAGTCACTAAAGTAGTTAAGGGTACTTGTTGTTAACCTGCCTGTGGTCTGACCTACCAAAGACATTAAGAGATGGTACTTGTTGTTAACCTGCCTGGTGCTGGGCATGAAGGGGACAAAACAAGGACTGGTTGGTTCAGAGTCAGTATAGTGTGTTTGAGTGGGGTGTCAATGTTAAATTGGAGCATAGTATGTCAGTGAGCTGCACCATAAAACCGGCTGAAGTGCAGACTTGTACAAGCAGATACGAAGATTTGCATGCATGTCGCTGTATGGATGAAATGATCTCGTACCCAACATTTGACCCCATGTCACCTCCCATCACCTGTAGCGTGTAGTTTGGAGTTGAGTTTGATGTTTCTCACTTGTGCTCCTCTAGATCATCTCCCAGAGTGATGCCAAGCACTTCCTCATCCTGTTCCGAGACGGAGGCTGTCAGTTCAAGGGCCTGTACACCTATGCACCAGAAATAGAAGAAATTTTCAAAATACATGGAGTCGGACCAAAGCAAATCACCAACAAAATGGTGGAAAAGTTTTATAAGTAAGTCAAATAATCATTTATAGGAAGTAAGACCCCAGTATTGCCCCAATTAAAAGACAAAGGTTGTCCAAGACTGAAGTACATGCGTGATATTACTGACACTTGACGATTATGTAATTATTTTACAGATACAATTCAGGTGCCAAAAGCTTCACTGAGGTCAAGTCGACCAAGCATATATCTGTGTCTATTGATGCTGTTGTTGTGCACAATGCATTGTGGAAGACAAGCAAACCCGGCGCTGCCAAGAAATAGTTCTGGTGTTGTCACTGATCTCCGACTCCTGACAGAGAGGAGGACACAGATAGCCATCATTGTAGCAAGTCACAAACAGTCATCTGGATTGCAGATAGTCATCCCCTGGCACAGAGCTGTGCTTCAAATGTTATGACAGTTGTGTGAATTATTATTTCGGTCTGGGAAGTTTCTCAGCTTTTGTGGTAATGGCAAGTTGACTATGCTCTCTTCTATATGGACCATTCTATGCTGCTTTGAAGCCCTATTTCAATAATTGGAATTAGGACGTTTAATGTTATGATTCACTGATATGAATATTAATTTTAGCCCAATTAGACACCTGAGAAAACTATTTAGTGGTCATGGTTCATTTTCATGAATAACGTTTAAATTTGTATTGAGGGCATTCAGTACTTTCTCCATTGTAACCAAAGATTCAGTGTGATTGATCGATTTGAATTATGGTTTAAAGTAATATATTTTCAACAAATCGCATGATGTCATTTCTATAAAAAGGTTACATGGTGTCAAGAATGACAATACATTTAGAAATATGATTTACAGGCAATTGCTGTTGACACTTCCCAGATCCAGTCCCAGTCTGATATAGATTTTGTATAAACTGCTAATATATAGGACATGTTCCGATGAGCTTGAGTCTGCCGTCACAGTAAGACGAAATATGTCAAGCAATATCCCAGCCAACAGTCCCAGTAAGTAGAAACAACATCGGCCATTACTCTGATCATCCAGTATAGGACCTGCTTTGTTGAAATGTGAATTATGCAAGTCTTCTAATATGCTGCTTGGTAGCCTATACACAGTGGCTGATGCCAAACTAGTTAATTTGTTAAATTATTTTAATATATTACACTACATATTACCATGATTACTACTGCTGTTCTATATGTGTATGAACCACGATAGTGGCACGTGTAGGACATTTTATCTGATTCAAATTGAAATGTTAGTGAAAGGTTTGTATTTGAGATGGTTCAGAATTTTTTAATTGGTTTTAACAATTATTTACTGTTGATGGAGACCTTGTCTTGTTTCTTCAATTTTAATTAAAATAAACATGAATATATATCATTGTATATATAGTGTCATGAAATGGCAAGGACAACACCATGCATTTGTCACACACCTCTAATTGTAGAATCTGCATCATCATATCCCAGAGTACACAGATAGAAATGTGCTGGTGTTACTAGTTGAGCAAACTGTATGAACACACTACAAGACATGGCCAGATTGATTTTGCTGGTTACACTGAGAATAAGTATACTCGAGTAAGTAGTAGGGAAAGTAGGAATGAGAAAGAGGACTAAGGTATTTTGTGATGGAATTTATGGTTGTATGTGAAGAGTTGTGAATATGTAGATTTTGACCTAATTTATGTGTATAAACCCTAGATGTAGAGTTGAAGATATGCCAGTGAGGCCCAGGCTAATGCTCCCAGTACAGCTGTGGGTCTTTCAGAGTTTAGCTGTAAAGCTTCCTGTCTGTCACAGCTGTTTCCATTTAACACTCCTGCGATGACCAATGCTTTTGTAACAAATATTTATTGTAAAAATGTACATTGTTTTCTACACTTCATTGTTGTGATCTAGCTAGTGCTTCAGTTGCACTGGATCCTGTTGTTGTCGTCATATTGGATCCTATATTGTCATATTGGATCTTGTTGTGTCCTTCTGGATCCTATTGTGTCATATTGGATCTTGTTGTGTCATACTGGATTCTATTGTGTGTCATATTGCATCCTGTTGTGTGACACAATGTTTTCATTATTCAGATCAAATAGTGCTTATCTCCGAGTTACATCTCAAAGAGTGCTTGTAAAATAAATGTTTTATAACTATTTGCATAAATATGCATTTATTTGTGTAAATGTTTCATTCACATCAAGATCATTTCATGGAAAAAAGATATTAAACTACAGTCATGTCATTCTCATAAGTCATTCTTTCCGACATCATTATTCATTCATTTGTTGCATTTATTTCTTCTGACAGTTATCAAAACATTTGTTGTCAATAGGTGTGCAGATTCCAAACAGGTTCGCCAATAGACTGTGACAATGACCTTCCTTCTATCTCAAGTAGCAATGAACCTATTTATGCATAATTCTGCTCTGCGCAGCTGTTAGTTCAAATTGGAGTGGCAAGATATATACAGCCAGGTCATGAAGCTATAATGGTGCCAGAGTTATGTCCCTTTAGATGACTTGCCCTCCCAGACGGCAATATTACCTAAATAAGAATGGTCTTTTAAGTGTCCCTTATTTAGATTTTAGAGACAATTGATTTCATTATGTATTTCTAATTCCTCGTGGTAGTAGTTTGGATACCATTCATTACAAAGATTCAACATTTTAATTGTTAATTGTCGAGAAAATGGTAAAGAGTCATCTTGCTACTCCAAGTTGTATGTGCAGCCAGCAAGTACAATATTATTTATGTGAGAAAGCCTGTGATACTATTGGCCTTACAACTTTCAATATGTTGCTGTGACAGTGTGCATCTAAATGACAAATAAATGTTTGTTGCCAGCTAATTCTAGTTTTGTTATCAGTGGTAATGGAACAGTCAGTAGAGATTGACGAGGTTTTGAACAGTATTTCAAGTCACATCACAGTGTAATGTATGAACTTTGAGACATTTTCTTTCTATTTGCACAGATGTCCATGTTGTATAGGTAGACACATCAACTGTATGGAACAGATCTTGTCGGTCTCCATACCACTGCAAGTGATAGTTCATCCTCAAGTACCCAGTGTGTATATTTAGATATCCATTTTGTTATGATAATCACCTTGGACCCAATTGCCACCATAGCTACTTACACATCCAACCAAATGACACAGTTATCGCAAATTTACTGATAACCGATGGAAAAAGAAGTGTTGCTAATGGGTCCAGGTACTTATCATGACAGAATGGTGACAATACGCTGGATAGTTGAGGTTTGACCTGCTCCTTTTGTCTAGTCTGTCCATCTGCAAGTGGTAAATGACATGAGCATGTCAAAATCTTACTCAACCACGATCCAATCAGTCTTAAAAAATACACCAATCTGGATAAATTTGGTTTATTTCTCTTCATCATGTTCATGAGATTATTTATCTGATACATATTTCCTTTCCTTATTAATACACTATTAATGCTATAAAGTGTAACAATGATTTAGGTGTCTGGGAAGCTTCAAGAATACAAGCATCTTAACAAGACACAAGATTAGGGCAAATGTCAAGGGAATAGAACTTCACAGAATACTACAACGATAGTCTACTACCGGGTACTCTTTCTCAAGTACACATTCTTTTATCTCAATAACCAAGTAACCATGGTAACAACTATCTATTGTACACAATATCTGACATTGTAACAATACATCCATGCATATATTGTAGTCTTAGCTATAAGATACCATAGAAGAGTAAGTGGTGCAGAATGTCATCAACAGATGAATGCATTTAGTTACAGTATATCAATGCAGGACATGAGAACTGATGTTGATGATGTCAATCTCAGCACAATGTATAAAGGGTAAACTTACGCAACACATACACCGTAGGATCTTATGCATGATTCTAAAAAGTCATGGAAAAGATAAGTTGTCATGACATGAACGCTTGGAGTGAGTGAGATGGGTTTAATGCCGCTGTGAAGAGTTGTCCAGTTATAATATGGCGTGTCAGATTAATGTTGGAGGAAAGCCTGAAGTGATGCAGGACGTTTACCACTCTGGTGAAACCCACCAGCATGGTATGGTGCTGACAAACCCAGAAACATAATCAGGCAAACCAGGATTCAAACCCACGATCATAGGTTTCTGGCATGCCCAAGGGACGCAGCTCTGCACAGGGAATTGTGGCACTTTAAGACTACCGGGCCCCGTTCCACAAAACAATCTTAGTGCTAAGATGATCGTAATTCCCATACTTTAACATGGGCTTACGACAATCATAGCGCTAAGATTGCTTTGTGGAACAGGCCCCTGGGCCTCCCGTGCCTCCCATCATCACAATGAAGTCTTGGGGAGTATGTGTTGTAAAGTCTTGGAACACTTGGAAGAAGGTATGATCTGCATTACTGACATAACTGTGAGACACGTGAGGGAATGATGCTCAATGCTGCAGTCAGCAATATTCCGGCTATATATTAACTGTGGCCTGTAAATGATCAGTCTAACTATTGTTTGATGCAAGCAATCAGGGCTAATGGTGAGCAATCAGCACTGGACTATTTTAGTCAACTCTTACAAGCTTGGGTTAACAGGAATAAATTCTCACCACAAATCCCCACAGAGATGTACTATATATATATATAAACCACTAGCAAAGGCAGTCAATGTAGTTGTTCATATAAAAGATGTGCATGGTTTCAAAATGTCTTCTTGAAATATGGAGGTAAAACTGGTAATAAATTAATAATTATATAACCAATTACAAACGAGGATCTTGCTCCTTATACAACATACAAGAAGTAATGTTCAGTCAAAAAAGCTTGTCATCACAATTAAGACACCATCCTTCTCATGCTTCTGGCGCTGAAAGACCCTCCACAGATAGTAAATGTATTTATCAGGTTTACAGTTCTTAGTCAAATAACATTCATTCTGAAGGAATATGATGGCAAAATATAAAAAATCCATCCACTGGTTTGTGAATGTTAAAACAATTCTCTTCCATTAAGATGCAGCTGATTGTCAGCAACAAGTTTGGATAAATCAATGTTATCAGGGATCGGAAGTTTCCTGGGTGTTGTGAGTTTGTTCTAATGCTGTTCCAGTAGTAACCAAGAGTGCCAGGTGTGTCCAAATTAATGCAGGTTGGAGACCATGGAGACATGTTCCCCTTCCATCAAACCCGCGAGCAGCATCTGTCAAGGCTGATAAACCTGTGAGCAGCAGCGGTCGAGGCGGATAAACCCGTGAGCAGCAGCGGTCGAGGCTGATAAACCCACGAGCAGCAGCGGTCAAGACTGATAAACCCACGAGCAGCCGTGGTCGAGGCTGATAAACCCGCGAGCTGATAATCAGATGACTATCCCCACGATGAAGGTGACATGAGAATACTGTCAGAATGGAAGGAGCTGCAGATGCTGACAGAGCCATCAGTATTGTCTTTCGCAAGGTCGGAACAATGGGGGTCTTTGCTTATTGATCAGTCTCAAAACTTTCGCAAGTCCAAGAAAACAAAATACATTTTAGATTGAATTTGTTTAACCAACAATCCTGATAAATGTGTTTTTTCAAATGGAACTATGTCTTTGTCACACTTTCAAGCTGGCACAACAAATGAGCACAACAAGAAATAAAACTTGCATGATACATTAATGAAAGGACAAACAAGTTTAATTTCTTGCTTTATTACAGAACTTGGTGTAGACCATGTAGACAGCAGGTAAAATCTTTAAAATGTTGTAAGAGGTGGTTTGTAGTTATTTCCCTAAAACGAAAACTCTTGTATAAAGAGTGTTTACACTTATACAAAACACCTTGTTCTAAAATTCACAAACTTAAGGGCAAACTTATGCACAGAACAAAAAATGAACAAATGCGTCATAAAAAGTATAAATCATATTTTTTCTAAACATGCTAAATGCAGTGTCTGACACCATCCAGAATATGTCACTTTAAAAATATAACTGATCTTGCTAGCCCTGACCAAAACGTGTTAATACTGATTATCAAAACTTCTACATTCTTATTCCACAAAGTTCAATGCTTACCGACTTATAAAATGAAAATAAAATTATTACAGGAAAACCAGTGAGCGCCAGATTCCCATCTCTATGAAAACTAATCCATAGTACCCCACAAATAACAGTAGATCACCAGGCCAGCATTTAATTAATTCCACTGGGCCTTGAGAAACTTAACATGATTGCATTTCGAACCCTCAATGGTTTCTGGCATGTCCAAGGGATGCAACTCTTGCAATTTCAGTGCCTTAGATGACTTGTTCAACAAACCAGCCTTATGCACTAATCATCTATTACAGAGGGTGGTGGGCCGGTGAGATTGAGAGGGGGTTCATGAAAAACTGACACAGCGACATGATACTTCAAAGAAATCTTGTTCTAAGATCAAAATATAAAGATGGAGAGATACCATCAGACAAGAAGGTCGTCTGGTACCCTAGAGAACTACCACAGTCTGTGTGGCCCCATGACTAGCTGGGTAACTGTTGTCTCGGAGGTTGAAGGTATCTGTGGTTACTGGGTTTCCTGGGATCTTGTGCACACTCTTCATGTGGTGTCTTCATGTTAACTGCCTTGGTTAGCCATTTGGAACTTGTCACTGACATCAAAATTTTGCAGGAATGGCACGATCAAAGTCTTGTTTGAGTCAATATATATCACAATCTTGCAAATCTGGAAAGGAGAAGAGTTGATCTGTATGGAACCATAATTATGACAAGAGGTAGGGATTGTACATGGGAAAACTATTTAATAAGAATCTTAAAATAAACTGGTGAACCCACGAGTCTCGTCTTTCCTTCTTATCAACAATTCATAAAAACCTATATCTTTTAAAACTAGAATATTCCAAAAAGCAACCAGAAAACCACAATCAAATCAACCATTGTAATTTACCAGAATACAAATAGGGATCACAATGTAGATATTGATGGCCATGGAGGCAAGGGGACATGAAATGGGGTTTAAAGTTACATTCAAGACTATTGCACCTATATAGTGATGTGCACGCATGAGTGGTGTGTAGTGTGGTGTGGTATTTTTGCTTGTGATAATTTTGACTAATGTCAGTTTTATAGCGCTAACCCACTGAGATACCATGCTGCTTGTTAAAATGAATACCCCAATAAGACACAGTGTACTGTGTCCGAGCCAACCAGTCCTTCTTTTAGCCCCTTAATTCCGAGCGCCAGGCAGGGTAACAACAAGTACCATCTTTCAGAGACTTTTGGTATGGCACAGCTGGGGATCGAACCACCAACCTTCCACTCAATCCACTACACCACAGAAGTGGTCTGATGGCATTGGAAACAATGGGTGAACATGGTATTGTAAGTACTGATGAGATCAATCAAGGCTATACTAGCTTGTATAAAACGGACTATCAATGATTCAGGAATGATCAAACTCACATTAAGTAATGTCTCCTGTAAGAACAGATGGAAGTCTCAAGTGAAACAACAAGTCAGTCGCACTATCACTGCCACAACAAAACTACAGCTGGAGTGATAGGGTTTTGTGATGGTGATTTGACAGTGTTTCAGTTTCAGTTGTCAGCCTATGGGAAGTGACCCAGGTCAGGGACTTCTTCCAGCCTGGGAAAAATATTTGCTGATGGACAGAGGACTCTTACATGTCTAACCATGTCAACTGTAGCACTTAGACTCTCGTAAGTCTGTGTTAAAGTATAGGAGTTCCGATCATCGTGGTCCTAGGATCAGTTTGTGAAAGGGGGTTCTTGTTTTTAGTTCAGTCTTCATCTACAAACCTGGCAGTTTACAAACTAGCAGCCATCTTGAAAAAGCCATCTCAGTTCTACAGCTCTCGTTAGGTACAGGAAGTACGACAGTCAGTGCTTACACAGTGAAATGAGGTCCCTGCTGATTTAGGCACACAACCGTAGAACCAGTACAAACCCAGCTGTTTACAAACTGGAGGCAATCTTGAAAAAGCCATCTTAGTTTTACAGCCCTCGTAAGGTACAGGACATACGACAGTCTCAGTGCTCTGGCAGTGAAATGACACAACATAGTACAAACCTCGCTGCCGCAGGTTCAACTTTTAAGGTAGGAGTCAAGAGATGGCATACTGGACTTGGTCTGATCCTTGGCCTTCACAAAGGTTGTAGAGAGATATGTTTCAAAAGATGGTAATGTCATCGGGATGTCACTTTCCTTGACAGCAGTAGGGTCCGGCGTCGCTTTCCCCTTCTTAATTGGAGCCACTGTCTTTAACTTTTCAAGGTTTTTCTTGTGTTTGGCGCCTGCAGGATAAAGTTATCTTGTCTGTTAAGGCAGGATCAAGGTCTAAATTGTGTCCATTTCTTTACTTTTGTTTGTTACTTAATGCCGCACTCAGCAATATTCCAGCTATATGACGGCGGTCTGTAAATAATTGAGTCTGGACCAGAAAATCCAGTGATTAATATCATGAGCATCGATCCACTCAATTGGGATCGATGACATGCATCAACCAAGTCGGCGAGCCTGACCACCTGATCCTGTTCTTCGCCTCTTATGACAAGCATCGTCGCCTTTTACAGCAGGCATGGGTTGCTGAAGACGGGTGTCTATTTCAAGAAATGAGTGAGTGAATGTTGTTTAATGCCCTAGTCAGCAATATTTTAGCTGTTTCACAGATGATTGAATAGATTGAAATGATTGAAAACATTAGCAACATTCCAAACGCATCAGACAGGTCACCGGCCCTGACTACCCCTCTTACAACCGCAATGGGGTGGAGGCCACCTATTCTAACCCGGCCCCAGGGGGTGTACTTTAATCATTCATGTCCAATGACTGAAAATAAGGAAAACCTATTCATTAATCATGTTCTCGGTCCCCCTCCCCTCACGTGGAATCATCTTACCTCTTGAAGAGAAGGGGGCACGAGTGGCTAAGTCATCGCAAAGGCATTGTGTCCCTTGGGCACACCAGAAACCTAGGATTGTGGGTTTGAATCCCGATTTGCCCAAATTATGTTTCTAGGTTTGTCAGCACCAAAAAGTTTTAAACGTCTGCATCACTTCTGGCTTCACTCCCACATTAAGTTGACACACCGTGATATAACTGAAATACTGTTCAAAGCGGCGTTAAACATCACTCACTCACTCACTCACTCTGAGAGATAAATACAATGCCTGACCCTGGTTGCACTAAACAAACAAATTTGCCACCATACACAAACATCTTAAACTTCATTGCCCAAGAGCCAATTATTTGTTAGTATAACAGAATAGAATGCTACCATTTTACAGGTGTACAGGACTTGGGAGACCAGATTGATTGCGTGGGACATTAACAATACATGTGCAGCTTGCTGCTCCCCACCTTCTCTGTGTTTGTCTAGCTGCTCCTGGGAGTTGACCTGTATCTTGCAGAAGCCACAGTATAACATGCCGCTCGTCTTGGTAGACACAGCTTCTGCAACACCAGACACGGGTACATGTATGATTCAGGGCACTATCAACATATTTCTACTCTTACAATAGTCATGATCATGACAGTCAAAAACACTAACTATATCATCAGTTGTAGAAGTGTTCACCAGGCTTTTACCAAGGGACTTGCAAGTATGCATTTTTGCCTCTGTAAACTTCTCTGAAATTGCCAGAATGTGGGAGGTGAACTTTGACACGTATGTTTCTTATGGTCACTATGATGTTAATGTTAGTCCTCAGCATTTAGTCAGAACATATTAGAACATCAGTGCTGACAACAACATTTTTGTCTTTATATTCTAATTTGATGACAGGTGAGCTATAGTGCCATGGTACTCTTCTTTGGAAAGTCTGTTGAACCATACCACATGTCACCAGCCTGGGACCCCCATGTTCAGGCCTTGGACCCCCCAGAAATAAATTTTAAAGAAATTAAGAGAATGGTCTAAACACACTAAACAAGATCAAAACTGTAAATAATGCAAAAAGAAAACAGAATATGTGATAAATCCAACAACTAACTAAACAAATACCAAATTCCATAAACTGAAGAAAAATGAGTGAAAATGTCCATAAACATACAAATTTGTGAAAAATGTGGGTGTCATCATTGGTGGGTACAAGCATGTCAACTGTCAGATTCACTGCTCAAGAGATTTCTGAGCAGACGATGTTTCCATGTGAGGAAATTCATTTGAGATACTTGAGGCATGTTAGGATCAAAGCTGAAGTGCCAAGTTCAAAGATGTAGCCAATGTAGCCAATGTAATGAGCCCAACTACTTACTATAAAGAGACTAAATTTCATGAAATTTTTAAACCAAATGTCTGAGTAAAGGCCATATGAAGTATCCGATTTCAGTATGGCTCAGTGCAATGGTCAAGTCAAGGTAAAAAGGGCCCCACTCCGAGATACACATGTTCTAATTTTCATTATATTTTGAATGGCTATGAATACTTTTCAAAATGGCTGCCATGGTGGCCATATTTGAAAATAGGATTAAACACATCTTTTGAACATATTGCAGTATCATCATTGTTGGGAACAATCATATCACATTACAGCTTCAACTGGTTTCTGACTAGATGATGTACAATGTGAGCAGTGTTCGACACCTACACTGGTCTGCTGGTCCGAGTCTAGTGTATTTACTTAAGGACCAGTAAAATTAAATAATTGCTAGTCTAGTGTTGTTTTGGGGACGAACAAAGTAATCAAAGTTTGTACAGCTTTTGAAAACCGTACAAAGAAATGACATCAAGATAGAACAATGTGTTATTATGAAACAAAGCACACTTCATTCTTCATTGTTCTTTGCGATTTATCACATACCTATCTTACATACATGCATATACTGTATCATGATGTATATATAATACACAAGTAATTCTTCATGATATGACTAATTTTTAAGTACTTGTGTCATAAACTTGACAAGTCTGTAGCACAGTATAAAAGTATATGGTTATTTGTATTCCTCATCATTAAATGTGTAGATGGTCTTGTTAATCCAACCATGTTTACCTGAGTTGTTACTCTGTACATGCTGAACATGTTTGTGAACCAGCTAGATTTTCAGTTCAACTGTATTTTCAACAAAGTTATTGCACGGTTTTATCCCTTACCACCACTGCCGTCTTCCTGTGTTTTCTCTACGTTGCCATGGACGATCTTCATCCTCTTGAAGTGTTTGCTGCCGCTGTAGTGTTGCTGGGCCTGCACGGTGGAATTGAAGACGATGTTGCAGAGAGAACACATCCCTGCCTCTGCCCCCTCTGTAGACTTCCGCTTCTTCACACTGCCCGACTATTAGTGAAATAATAAGTCACACCACAGCATTACAAAGTGAGCAAGTGAATAGGATCCTATGATACTTTTAGAAATATTCCAGCAATATCACAACAGGGGACACCAGAAATGTGCTTCACATATTGTACCAATGTGGTTAATTGAAGCCAGGCCTTTCGAGTGATGAGTGGAAAGGTAGGTTATTCCACGTCCCACCATAAGGAGTACTTTTGACCAGAAGTTAGCATCTTACCGAGGCAAGGGAGTTAACTGACTATATAAAAGTCCAGCTTCAACCCTTGCCGAATAAGGCTGGAATTATGGAGTCTAACGAGTCTATGCATAGTCCAATCAAATTCGCGTAACAAAATCGACATCCGGTTCGTAAGCTGACGTGTATATTTGGTCAATTGCAGGATTTGAAAAACATGTGTACCACCAAATCAGTGTCAACAGATATATACCAGATCTTTTCATGTTTTTAATCAAGGTGCTCAAGTGATCAGAAGCATTTCACTAAGTAAGACCTGTTTCAACACAATACAGATTTTGATCACAATCAGATCGTCTTGACTGGGCGCTGCCATTTCGTTTGAAGCAAATGCAAGCGATGTGAGAAATTGAATCTGATCTTAGTCAGTAGAAGGGACATAGAAGGGAACTCGTAATAGCCATGGGTGGCGCTATGATTGAGCCCATAAATTCCAGTTTGGTTCAGCAAGGGTGGAAACTGGATGTATATACTCAGTAAAATCCCTGGCTGGGAAGATGGCAGTTAGAAACATTCACTAGCCCTAGTAAATGGGAACTATCCCTTACTGTACTTACATATATAAAGTGACGTTTGAAGGTTTAGCTGGTGAGAAATACTGTGGCAGTGATATAGATAAGGCTTCACTTTCAGTATAAAGAAGCCACTATTGACAACAACACAGTCACTTTTAGCAAGTGTTAGTGCTTGAATGCTTAAGACCCTGTGTCTTGTGAAAGGCCATCACATCTTCAACCCTCCTAAAGTTAAACTTACTCCATTAGTACCGGTAAGAGAGTCGCCCTGCAATACTTGTGTGGGCGGAACTCCATTGCTGCTATCGGGGAGGCTCACCTCTTGTCCCTGTGAAACTGCGCCTACTGCTGCTGCACTTGTCGGTCCTAGAAACAATATCAAAGCTTTAGAAACATGTACTGATCACGACCGCCATCTTGGAAAACGACAATTATTAAATAATGTCGACAACCTTGAGCATGTTCAGCTGTAATGTCGTTTCTTGTGTGATGTAATTCAAACCTTATGTCAGAATAAGATTCGAATGACGTCAAAAATGATGTCCGGATTACAAGCACAATACGCTGAAGCGTGTGAACTGATATTTGCACTAGTGCACACACGACTTGATTATTAATAACCCTACAGGTAATGATGCTGTATCTGACCCCACCTCATGACTCTGCCCTACTTCATCCATGTACTGAATTGGAAATGGGATGACTGTTACGGATATACCAAAGCAACAGAGTACTCTGCCAAGAAAACAGTGAATGAGGGAGTGAATTTTGATTTACACCAGTCAGCGATATTACAAGGAGACCATTTCTGGTGTCCCCTGCCTTGATATTGCTGGAATATTGCTAAAAGCAGGGTAAAATCAAACTCACTCACTCACTCACTGTAGGGAGACATCTTCAAGGTGTTGAAAATGGGGTTCAACAATGACTCAAAATGATTTCACTCACATAGCGATGTGCATGTGTGTGTGTGTGCAGCTGCTTGTACTAGTTCCGACTTATGTTGTTTTTCTACTAGCCCACTGAGATTCCATGCCGCAGTTTAACATGAATACCTCATGCTTACACCTATTATAGTGACTTCGAGCCACACAGTCCATGCTTTATCCCCAGGCAGGGTAACAGCAAGTACCATCTTAAAGTCTTTTGTTATGAGACCAGGGGTTCAGTCAAACCACCGAGCTCTATCTACTACACCACGGAGTCGGTCAGCAGCAGACTCTAGATAAGCAAAGATAAGAGTACTGGGAACTCTTACAACCAGTATGGGATACTGGGGCCCATTCATCCCCACAATTCCTGAGGGGCACAGCACAAGGTTCTGCCAAGACAACAATGCTAGACCAGTGTCCTGAAGAACTGCATGCCTGAGGCTGGTAACTTGACATGCTGCATGACATTTTCTCCATCTGCCAGACTGTTTGGTAGATAATTTTAAGACTACTTATGTATTCAGTTTTATTCAGATATATTATAGTCATCATCTTGTCTGTTTGTATTTCCTTTCTGGAGCCTAACTTGAAAACTGTGAAAGATTTTTCATCCAAACTTGGTACATGTATTAACCAGAGGCTAAAATGGTACCTTTTGCTATTGTCATGATTGTAGGGGCCGGGGGGATTTCTGATGATGTTATTCTCAAGTAGTTGTTTGCATTATTTCAACTGAATCAAGACACAATTTGTCTCATTTTTTTTCGATTTTTCAATATTCATAATGTCTGTAGGCAGGTAACTTTGAAGATGGGCAGGCAACACTTATGGGTCACCTGCCCTACCATGCCTACTGTCTTGATAGATCTTAAAACTGTTTCAAACACTGCGCTAGGCAACTGATCTTACCCTCTTCAGACACTCCTGCAGCCATCATCTTCTTCTTGTGAGCCTTTCCTTTCATGTGCTGCTGCAGCTGTTCCGGTGAATTGACAGTGAGATTGCACACTAAACAAGTCGACATTGTGCTCCTGGAAACAGCAACATTGGAAAACAAATAATTCAGAGTCCACTTGCACAAAGCGATCTTAACGCTACGACAATCGTAACTCCCATACTTTAACATAGACATACGATAGTCACAGCTCTTTATTATGTGCTCTCAAATGTAGCAGCTGATAAAGATGAATGCATCTGCCTGGACTGATTTCCCGCTAATATTTCAGCATGATTGTGTTCAAAGATCCGTTTGATTTGTGTGTTTGTTCTTCAGGAAAAAAATAATTTCTGTACTTAGTTAGTAACGAAATCAGAGAAAGACTTTGTGATTATGAAATCTGTGACAGGACAAATAGTAGACATTGCAGTCTGGTCAGTTGGTAGATCATGAAGATTGTAACAATGGTAACAGTAATTTTGGTAAGATGTGTTTTGTCGCCTTGGACACAGCATACACTTTTTCCGAATATGATTATGTTATCAAACTCTTCCAAACGGAATTAATATTTTAAATAGCCTTATAATTATAATAATTGTAGTGTTAGTGTGTATAATGCTGAACAAAATACACCTCTAAATCAGCTGGTATCACCGACCTGAAATACTACAAGTGACATCCTGTATTTGCCCACACTGTATGGACTAGGAATGGGGTGACAAAAATGATATAAACCAAATTCTAAAATACCAAAAATGACACCATCAACTCAAGATCTCACTGCGGTGGCCAGAATAACCCGAAACAATTTAACCTTAACCACAGTAACAGATCCACACCAACAGACACAAGTACATGATTATAACAAACGAGGGAAAAATAAATCATGTCAGAACAAACCGTAAAAACGTCAGTTTAGGCGGCTTTTGATAAATATTCTCCTAGCATGTGTTGATGTCCGGAAGTCAATACCGGCCTCGTTGCAGCGCGGAGATAATGGTTTGCTTAACTCCCATTGGTTCATATTTATTTCATTTGTACTTACCGATACTTATAAATTCTAAGTAGCTTTATGATTAAAATATGCATAACAATTAAAAAAATAGGTCAAAGACTATAAAATAACGATCGATGTAGTCCCTTTAAACCTTTAGTTGAATGTTAGTCTAACAAAGAGTAACATTCACTCCAAGAGGGTGTGTGTGTGTGTGTGTGTGTGTGTGAGCGTGCGCCCAGAATCATAGACGTACATATATCAAAGACGTTATAAGACTGAATTAATTTGTAGAATAGTTTCGAGTATGCTATTCTACTCTTTTCTTAGTTATCTACTGTTGTAACGACGTCATATAAAATCGTTTTATGAACAATAGATGACGTTATTTTCAATTATTTGCGACATGACTTCATGTTGCTAAGGGCCGCTTCGAGAGCAATCTAAAAAAAATAACAAATTGGTTGCCAAGCGTGAAGCAAGGGCGAGATTACCCAAAATAACCTCAAATCTATCCGTGCCCCCGGCCAACTGATGATATACATATTATTCGTGCCATCACCACGACCTTGCTGTATATAGGCGTGTCGATCTGTGGTACACATTATAAATAAAATGTCATGTTTTGTTTTAAAAAAACAAAAAACAAAACAGTTCAAATTTACGTTGGGATGCCAAGGTAACATAGGACTTCAACACCTCATGCTTGTCGTAATAGTCGACTGAAATGAGTGAGTGAGTGAGTTGGGTTTAACGCCGCCTTGAACGGTATTCCAGTTATGCCACCCCGTGTCAGCTTAATGCGAGAGGAAAGGCAGAAGTGATGCAGGTCTTCGACGTTTACCACGTTAATGAAACCCACGAGCACGGGTATGGTGCTGACAAACCTAGAAACATAATCGTAGCGGACCGGGATTCGAACCAACATGCAATCATACGGTTTCTGGTGTGCCAAAGGGATCAACTGTGCTAAGCGAATTACGCAACCTTAGTAGACGACTGGGCCACCCGTGTCCCCTCGGTTGATATGAAGATCGGCAGGTTACACTGTGTGACCTGACTGTATGTCATCGCACCCTGACGGCTGTGGTAGTTGCCCGTGCTGTTAACAACTGAATTGCATGGCAGGACGGATTGTTTACAGGAATCCCTACGAGAGCTGGAATATATTGCTACGTAAGTTAAACAATCCGTATTTCCTTATTTCAAACATGTACAAAATCACTCAAAATAATTTTTCGAACGAAATGAATGTTTTGTTTTTTTGTTCATATACACAGACAGTACTGAGACTGCAGTGTCAGCGAAAATCAAATAGGTAGGTTCTCCGTGCATGCACATAAATGTATTTATCCAAACTACACTTCAATGAGACTTCATGTTCTAATTGTTTATAAAAACAAAAGAGCACAAACAACAAACACTTCTACGTAGATGTCGTCAACGATAGGCAGACAGTGACAATAATTTATTACAGTGACGGTACAGGCAAACAACGTAGTTTTGACAACTGGTGTAAACCGCGACTGACGATCCGAGCGACCCCACGTCAGTGACTAATCTCAACACTCGTCCGGCCCAGTCTGGCCCAGTCCGACCTAGTCCGACCCAGCACTCTATACTATACATCAGAACTGAAGTGCTAAGTTGTAACAAATGAAATGTTGAATTACCCTGATCAACGCTCTGACACTCTGCGATTTACACGACTGAGTATTGGAATGATGAATACAGTATTTTACGCATGATGAATAGGTACCATAATGACAGCCGAGCGGCCCACATTGGACGAATTGACCGACCAGGGTCTCACAACAGTCTGAGTGGACAGTCCACCGGCTTAAAATGCCTGAGTCGACATTCCATCGGCCTACAACAGATGAGTGGACATTCCACCGGCCTACAACAGATGAGTGGCCAGTCCACCGGCCTACAACAGATGAGTGGACATTCCACCGGCCTACAATGTCTGTGTAGACAGTCTACCGGCCTACAATGTCTGAGTGGACATTCAGCCGGCCTACAACAGATGAGTGGCCAGTCCACCGGCCTACAATGTCTGAGTGGACAGTCCACCGGCCTACAACAGATGAGTGGCCAGTCCACCGGCCTACAACAGATGAGTGGACATTCCACCGGCCTACAATGTCTGAGTGGACATTCCACCGACCTACAACATATGAGTGGACAGTCCACCGGCCTACAACAGATAAGTGGACATTCCACCGGCCTACAATGTCTGTGTAGACAGTCCACCGGCCTACAACAGATGAGTGGACATTCCACCGGCCTACAACAGACAAGTGGACAGTCCGACGGCCTACAACAGAGTGGACATTCCACCGGCCTACAACATATGAGTGGACAGTCCACCGGCCTACAACAGATGAGTGGACATTCCACCGGCCTACAATGTCTGTGTAGACAGTCCACCGGCCTACAACAGATGAGTGGACATTCCACCGGCCTACAACAGACAAGTGGACAGTCCGACGGCCTACAACAGATAAGTGGACAGTCCACCGGCCTACAATGTCTGAGTAGACAGTCCACCGGCCTACAATGTCTGAGTAGACAGTCCACCGGCCTACAATGTCTGAGTGGACGGTCCACCGGCCTACAACAGATGAATGGACAGTCCACCGGCCTACAACAGACAAGTGGACAGTCCACCGGCCTACAACAGATGAGTGGACAGTCCACCGGCCTACAACAGATGAGTGGCCAGTCCACCGGCCTACAACAGATGAGTGGACATTCCACCGGCCTACAATGTCTGTGTAGACAGTCCACCGGCCTACAATGTCTGAGTGGACATTCAGCCGGCCTACAACCGATAAGTAGACAGTCCACCGGCCTACAATGTCTGAGTGGACATTCCACCGGCCTACAACAGATGAGTGGACAGTCCACCGGCCTACAACAGATGAGTGGACAGTCCACCGGCCTACAACAGATAAGTGGACAGTCCACCGGCCTACAACAGATGAGCGGACAGTCCACCGGCCTACAATGTCTGAGTGAAGATTCCGCCGGTCTACAATGTCTGAGTGGACATTCCACCGGCCTACAACATATGAGTGGCCAGTCCACCGGCCTACAACAGATGAGTGGACATTCCACCGGCCTACAATGTCTGAGTGAAGATTCCGCCGGTCTACAATGTCTGAGTGGACATTCCACCGGCCTACAACATATGAGTGGACAGTCCACCGGCCTACAACAGATGAGTGGACATTCCACCGGCCTACAATGTCTGTGTAGACAGTCCACCGGCCTACAACAGATGAGTGGACATTCCACCGGCCTACAACAGACAAGTGGACAGTCCGACGGCCTACAACAGATAAGTGGACAGTCCACCGGCCTACAATGTCTGAGTAGACAGTCCACCGGCCTACAATGTCTGAGTAGACAGTCCACCGGCCTACAATGTCTGAGTGGACGGTCCACCGGCCTACAACAGATGAATGGACAGTCCACCGACCTACAACAGATAAGTAGACAGTCCATCGGCCTACACTGTCTGAGTGGACATTTAGCCGGTCTACAACAGATAGGTGGACATTCCACCGGCCTACAATGTCTGAGTGGACAGTACACCGGCCTACAATGTCTGAGTGGATATTCCACCGGCCTAAAATGTCTGAGTGGACAGTCCACCGGCCTACAACAGATGAGTGGACATTCCACCGGCCTACAACAGATGAGCGGACATTCCACCGGCCTACAATGTCTGAGTGGACATTCAGCCGGCCTACAACAGATGAGTGGACATTCCACCGGCCTACAACAGATGAGTGGACAGTCCACCGGCCTACAACAGATAAGTGGACAGTCCACCGGCCTACAATGTCTGAGTAGACAGTCCACCGGCCTACAATGTCTGAGTAGACAGTCCACCGGCCTACAATGTCTGAGTGGACAGTCCACCGGCCTACAACAGATGAGTGGACATTCCACCGGCCTACAACAGACAAGTGGACAGTCCACCGGCCTACAATGTCTGAGTGGACAGTCCACCGGCCTACAACAGACAAGTGGGGTCCATCGGCCTACAATGTCTGAATTGACATTTCACCGGCCTACAACACAGAAGTGGACACTCAGCCGGCCTACAACAGATAAGTAGACAGTCCACCGGCCTACAACAGATAAGTAGACAGTCCACCGGCCTACAATGTCTGAGTGGACAGTCCACCGGCCTACAACAGATGAGTGGACATTCCACCGGCCTACAATGTCTGAGTGGACATTTAGCCGGTCTACAACAGATAGGTGGACATTCCATCGGCCTACAATGTCTGAGTGGACATTCCACCGGCCTACACTGTCTGAGTGGACAGTCCACCGGCCTACAACAGACAAGTGAACAGTCCACCGGCCTACAATGTCTGAATGGACATTTCACCGGCCTACAACACATAAGTGGACACTCAGCCGGCCTACAACAGATGAGTGGACATTCCACCGGCCTACAATGTCCGAGTGGACATTCAGCCGGTCTACAACAGACAAGTGGGGTCCACCGGCCTACAATGTCTGAGTGGACAGTACACCGGCCTACAACAGATGAGTTTTCTAAAACTTTAATGCCGTTCTGCTTAATAAACAGATATATGAAAATAGACATCATTGCATTTGAACATTGCATAACAAGAACTGACGGAACTGGGAAATCAAGAAGAATGAAGACAGTGCTTCACGTCCCAACTATTGAACAGTACAACGAACAATTCTGGAGCACAAGACAGTTATGGTTCAGAGTAAATATCATCCCAAGAACTCCAGCTGCTTGTCTGGTGTGCACGAATAACATACATATTTATCTGTAAAACATGAAAATAATTCTAAACATTGCTTGATAATCGAATATGCTTTCCATGATAGCAAGTCCCCTGCGTTACTCTGCGAAATCCAATTACCGTGGTACCGGTACAGGTTGATATATCAGTCATATAATCGATAGAATCAGCCATAAAATCACTTTAA